ACATCAACTCTAATACAATTTAGTTACGCAAATTAATGATGCTTCACAAACTCTAAGCAACACACAAGCCCTTTAAAATGTTCTACCTCAGTAATCGGCTCTGAGCTGAGCTTTAATGCCACATTTTCCTAAACCTAGAGCTACACATACGTTTTAAAGATGTCTTATATAAGCATTTTAAAACATTATATAACAATGTAGACTTGGTTGAGAGCTCTGGATTTCACATCTGCTCCACTAACATTGTGACTTCATTTCAGCCCCTTTCACCCTCATGAGTTGAACTTCCAACATTCACATCTCTCTCTTATCCTCCCCATATCGTCTCTTCTTGATACACTTAGCCCAGTTAACCAGCCTTTTATCCAGAGCTAATTAGCTAGCTATTAATTAATTATTGAGAATCTGGAGGGGATTAAATTTTAATGTGTGTTTGAGAGGAAATAGTTGTAATACAAGTCACCGCCAGCATTAAGAGGATGAGGACACACATACTCCCCGACAGCATTTATCACAGTACACAAACGCTTACAGTAATACACAACTGCTTATCTGAGTCTTTAGACACACACACAAACACACACACACAAACGCACATAACGACTTACTTTATGTAATCATTTAACACTAAGTGCAAAAAAAAAAGCTGCTTACTGGGAGAAGAATGATCAAATCTTCTCACTGGTTTGTCACCATAACACTAGATGTGAGGCCAGTTTTGTCCGCTATCAACCTGACCACCACCATATTAAACACACCTTAAACTGTTCCAAGAAGTCCAAATGAGGTGTCTGTGTTGACTCAACTTAAGAGCTTCATACACTGAAAAAAGTGATGTACTGAATGTACTTGATTCAAATGTGTACATCATTTCTACATGAATACAATATATTACATCAACACCATTTCGTTTTCAATAGCTATGTTGATACAATGTTTTATTCAAACAGAAACGAAGCACACATTTAAAATCGAGTTTCAATCTATAAGGGGTGCGAAATCATACATGATGACCTCTACAGTATTGTGCAAGTCAGAGACATTTAATTTCAGAAAATGTCCATTCAACAAAATTTAAGTTATTCACTTTTCAGAAAATATATTTAACAGAAAACTACAAAGAAGCTTCAACAAGTAAACATAACATCAACTTTTTCAGCATTTATTTTCCATTCATTTTTGGTTGTTCAGAGAAATATGAAGGGATATTTTTCCACACCGCCAAAGTTCAGTCTTTGTTGGTTGCATTTTCTGCTTCTCACAATACAAGTAATCCTAAACACATGTTGAGGTCTGGACAGTCCATTGTTCTGAGAACACCAGCAGCTTTTTTATTTGATTTGCAATTTTTCTTTTTCTTTTTCTTTTTCGTCCATTTTCTTTTCTCAGTAATGGTTTCTTGGCAGCTACACATTCTTTCAGACTCACAGTGTTGAGCTGTCTTCTCACAGTGGAGGGATGGACAGAAACACCTGTGTATTTTTTCAAATCGGAATCAAGAGCAGTCTCTTAATATCATCTGGACACTCCTGACTTTCATTTACTTTCCTTTGATTTTCCTCTTCCTTAATCAAGGGGGTTATCTTACAGCTTATCTCATCTGAAGTATCTACTGAAAAATGAATAACTTGTACTTAACGGTAAATTATATAAATGAATGGTGGTCTCTACTGTATGACACTACAACTGCTAGACTATAATGTGTTAATACCCCAATTTTGTGCATTACTTCTTACAAAAAAAAATGTTTCTTGCTAATTCCTTTGTTTAACAAAGCTAAATTAAGCATATATTTTGTCCTATTGTGAGATATATAGTAAGAAATATGCAATATTGTTGCTACAGGTCTACTTCAGACGCATTTAAAGCTGGCTAAAGCAGACAGATTTCAACATATTTACTACACCATTTCTCCTGCCTATCTACAACACAGACAATAAAGGTCAGCAGGTCAAGACAGTAAAGTGCAGATATGCACTTTTTAATGCCTGAGTCACTGAAATGCAATTAGAGCAAACACAAAGGCCTACAAAACTGTCAACTTAGGGTGCAAGACTCCAGAATTGTAGCCATAGCGACCTATCAGAACACCAATTTCAACATTTTATTAAATTACAGTGTCCAGAGAGTAGCTACAAAACAACACACTGGGTCCATATGGATTTTTTTTGTTGTTGTCTTCAAGGTGATCCTCACGCCGCAGTTGCATTTTCGTAAGGCTAACTCATGCTGACGTTCATGGCTTAAAGGATATTGATTTCTCCACATTTAAAGATGCACCCTGCTGCTGCTGCTTATCTCCCCTTACTTCTCTACTCTCTTCCTTTCTTTTTCTCTCACTTGCTCCTTCACTCTCTTTCTCTTCCTACGAGCTGAGCGCCATCATTAGCTGCTACATGCTACATGTGGTTTTCATTCTGCGCTCAGAGTGGAGGCGCCATCATGAGAAAGAAAGAAGGAGAGATGGAGGGGAGGAGAGGGGGAGAGGAAACGAAGGAGTTAGCGAAGGAGAGGGAGAAAAGAAAGAAAGAAGTGGAGCGGGAAAGGAAGGGGAAAGGAAAAGAGATGCTGCAGCTGAAACCGTGAACATCAAAGCAGTGGAAGGTGAAGTGGGGTCAAGGTCACGTTTAATCCAACCTGATGTTTAATCAAAGACCATATTTAATGCAAGGTCATTAAATAGGCAGCAGAGCCCGCAATAAGCTGCATATGGTCAGTTTTTCCTCTGAGCGCTGCAGATTGCTTTAGCCCGGAGCAACCACACAGGACAGTACAGATGTCTCTGCACAGGTAAAAAGAAACTTCAGCAAGCACGGTCAGTGGTTAAGACACAACAAGTGCCTGTTCGTCCTTTTTGCTGAAGAGAGATGTGTGGCCTGAGGCTATACTATGTGTGTGTGCTGCATGGTTTTGGTAGGGGTGGGAGGTATAATGGTATTAAAGTGGATACCAGTATGAAGGGATGCACCAAAATGGGAACTGTGGGCTGATGATGATCTACAATATTTTACATGTGCATATCTGTTGAGACAATACATAAACATTTATAAAATGCAGAATTACATCTACCTGGCTTAGCATGATGGGGAAATATAACATTTATTTCTTTAGGCTTACAAATGCATATATATTTTAGTGTAGTAACCCAAGTTAAGGCTTATTATTCAGTAACTACAGGGACTTCAGTGCAAACTGGTTGAGCTATTCCTAGGTTATAGAAGTGTGTAATAAAACTTTGGGCCTGGCAGTGGGCCATGGCCATGTAATGGATCTTTAATATCATGATATCTGTGGGTTTTAGGTAGAGCTGGGAGCTATAATGGGATGAAAGTGAATACTAATATGTAGGGATGCACCAATATGGGAACTGTAGGCCAATGCTTATATACAATACTTTCTATGCACATATCTGCTCATGCCAATGCTGACATAATCATTAAATTTAGATTAGCATCACAGAGAAGCATAACGTATTTCTACAGGCTTACAAATGCAGTCAAATGAATAAAATGTAGCTCTCTCAGTACAGTAACACGTTGTCTAAATGATCCTCTCTTTTGGAGTACAATAAATGTATCATCAAATATCAGTTTGAAATATTGCTCAAATACTAACATCTGTCCAAAGCCAATAAAAATATCAAACAAGTATCTATCGATACCAATTTGATTCTGATATCATTGTGCATCCCTACCAGTATGTCTTTGTCCTATGGTCATTTTACTATATTGTGGATAATATGATGAGCTAAACAATAATACTTGTGTATATCACGATATCATATCGACAGGGGAAGATATCATGATGTCAACCACAGCTCGTATCGCCCACCCCCCACGTGCAGCGGGGGAAAAAACAGTGAGAAAAAGGGCTTTAACCGTGCGCGTGCATAATTTCCACGGTGTGAAAGCAGACCAACGTGCAGCACGGAGAGTGTGAAAGAGAGTGTGAAACCCAGCGCTTTTCCCTAATCTCATCTAATGACCGCACACTTTCAGGCTAGGTCAACTCACCTCCAAAATAACACCACCAAAACAGGCTCACACTCTGAATCAGACCCCCCAGACCCTCTATAGATTAACACAACCAACTCTACCCCCACCCCCTCTCTCATTAGTAGCATCTGCCCACGGCCATGGTGCTGCCCCGCAGCATCTGCCACACGGAGGCATTAAAAGGCTCTTTGGTGTTCGAGGAGCTCGTGGCATCTCTAATAGCCCCTCATAACCTACATAGCGCGGGGAGGACACCACTTAAACAGAGGACTTAGGACTAAAGGGGGTGGGGGGGAGAAGCCCCCTGCTGCTTACTCACAGCACTAAAGCAGCTCATTCCTCGGTGCTCAAACTCCCAGAAAAAGAAACTGAGCCTAAGATAAAACCGCGCTCGAGTTTCTTTTTCCTAGATTCCACAGAGCGCTGCTTTGTGCACCTTCGAGGAGGGAAAAATAAAGACTGCCAGTCCGAAGCAGTAAAACTGCTAACATGCTTTTTAGTGGGTGGCAGCTGAGCTAAAGTCGTGGGTCAGGCAATTATAGTCAGAGGCTCCAAACAAAGCTCAAAATAGGTGCACTTCGTTTAGCCTGTTGGACTGTGAGTACGTGAGAAGCGCGAGCATGGAGAGCTGCACTTGGAGATGCAGCCTCTAAACTAAACGCGTTCTAAATGTTGCGTTAGGCAGGTGCGCGCGCGTGGACGAAGTCGCGAGGGCTCTTTTTTTCAAAAGCAGAGCAGTGTGTGTTGGAGAAGAGCGGGGCTGAAGTGAGAAAAGGGAAAAAGAAAAAGCGCCTCGTGACTACAAAATCACTCTCAGAGGAAATGCAATGTGGCATTTATTAGCGCTCACTGATGCTCATATAACTTCAGCAGGCACCTTCGTTATCCACTGAAGAGGGCCAGTCTGTGTAGTCTTTCCTCCGAGACGGTAGACGGATTTCACGAGCCGTGTCGCTGACTAACACCAGGTAAGAGGAAGATCAAAGGCAGTTTAGTCTCTCTTACCTTTTGTTGAGTGAATTCCAGTAGATGGGTTCCATGTTGGTCGCCGCCACTCCGACTAAATCCAGCAGGAACATGAGCAGCATGCCCCAGCTCCTTCTCGCCATGTCCACGTTTGAACCCATCATAGCTCGGCTAGTTTTGCCCCCAGTGAGCCGCTGCTGGCTGAAGCTGCAGCCCGTCAGTGTGTGAATGGACAGCGAGTGTGAGGAGCCCGCATGGAGATCACACCGCAGTTTAACGCACACAGACCAGGCTTTCACTTTCCGCTTGAAGATGTGAAGCCTTAAAAAACAGCTTTGACCACAAAGTCTAGTGTTTAAACGTGCGCTTTCCTCTTTTCTGCGCGTGCTAAGAAACTCCAGCACTAGAGATCCGTGAAGGCGTTTTTTTTTGTCAGTTAGACGTCTTATTTTTGTTCAGATTTGATTTTTATTATGCTCTACTCGTCTCCACGATTCGTCTTCGCTCTCATTCCTCTTTCCTCCTCTTCTGTACTGGGCTCTTCTCTTTTTTCCCCTTTTTTGTTTTCCTCCCCAGAGATGAATGTGAGAAAGCAGGCTCGAACTGAAACCCTGAGGACAGATGGGTGACTGTTTAAGACGGAGCGTGTTTCTTTCCCGCGCCAAGTCCCATCCTCACCGCTCCACACTGCTGCTCTCTTTCTGTTTTCCTTCCTTTCCTCTCTCTCTTTCTCCTCCGAGACTCAACTTGTAACTCCGCGGTGCTTCTTCACTCACTGAAGCTTTTTTTGTTTTGCTCTTTCGTCCAAAGGTTCCTTTCGAGCAGATCAGTGGTTTAGAATGAGCTGAGCAGGTCACAATCCAGAATCAACCAATAAGAGAACAAAAGCACACGTAACAATTAAAGTACAAAAAGCCAACGTTCTAGAACATCGACTGATGTTCTACTGAATGATGTCCTGGAGATGCAGACAGAAAAATAATAATCTCTATGAAAAGATCCCACTCCTGCGTCTCGCCCGGAGATGGATAATATGAGTGATATGGATCATGCGAATAAAGTGGATAATCCCAGTGTCATTCAGGCAGCCAGTATCTCCAGCTTTGCTGCTGTCTCCTCCTCGCTGAGGAAAAACCTTCTGCTGAGCCTCAACCAGCCGCTCGCAGCGCACTGACACACTGACTCGTTTGAGAGAGGGAGAGGGAGAGAGAGGGAGGGGAGAGAGGAGGGGAGGTGTGGGGAGGAGAGGAAAAAAAACACGTCTTCCGGCTGGTGGGTGCAGTAAAGGAGCGGATTTTTCTTCAGGGTTTTTGGGGGTAAGAGGAGGCGGTAAAAGGCGTGTCAGCCGTCCTCAATTCAATCAGTCCTTATTATTCCACTCTTTCTCCTGTGTGCGTGTTGGATGGGGGTCTCTGTGTCCCGCAGCGGATCACGTAGGACCCTCTATGAACGGAGCCCTCGTTGTGGGTCTTTCACACACCTGCACCACGTACAGCCACACAGTCCCTCCATAATACACTGAAAGCTTACCGAGTTACAGCGCCCCCAGTGTATTCGCTGGTAACAGTGCGTGTAATGGCATTTCACGGTCGTGGTAACGACACTAATAACAAGTTTACAACTCAGATGTAACGTGCAACAGGGACACCAGAGCCGTTCCTGGAGGCCTTCGTCTTCATTTGAGGCTCAGAAATGCAAACAAGTCTAACACAGACCGGTTGAATTTGTCTCCACAGCATATCTAGTACCTACAAACAGGCATATCCGCTGAGACATGCAGACTACTGCATTACATGAAAGACCAAAGCACCTGATAATGGGGAGTGTGAATCAAAGGGGCTGTAAATCTTTGCCTGTAGTGCCACCTAGTGTCCACAGACCGGTGGAGCAGCCTCTCCACCACAACGAAAAGAATCAGTCATTGAAAAGGATCGCAAGTGTACAATTTGAAAATGGAATACACTACAATATATATCGCAATTTGCTGCTCACGTATACCAAAATCTAACCATAATATACTGTAGCATTTCTTATTTTGTGCAGACAAAGTAAGCTTTACAGCAAAGCTAACATACTCAGTTTATTACTACAGAGGTTAAACATGAACAGAAGTACAACAAATACATCATTAAACATCGATAAGAAATATCGTTCAAGTCTAAAAATCTGTCTGATGCCGATAATTTTGTTCAAGCAAGTATCTGCCAGTAATGATATGATTCTGATATTATTGTGAATCCCTACCAGTATATTACTGTCCTATGGTGCAGATTTGTCCGTAAAGTGGATAATATGAAACATGAAAACATGGAAATGCAGATAGACATCGAGAGCTCAGGGTATGGAGGGTTTGTGGCTGACATCGTCAGTCTGGGTGGATGTCTCCACGAGGCCCGGTTCTCTGCCCAGGCGACGAAGCCTTAACAGGTAATCAGAGTGGAGGGAGGAGTCAGTCAGATCAATAAACTGTCTGTAACTGGCCTGTACCTTCTGAGAAAGATAAGGTGTGGGGTGTGAGGCATGGGGGAGAGAGAGAGAGAGAGAGAGAGAGAGAGAGAGAGAGAGAGAGAGAGAGAGAGAGCTTATTATATACAACTTCAAGTATGATTACTCTTGATGTTATTATTGTTACACTTCTACTTTCAATAACAACTTTTTTCCAAAATGCTGAAATATTGCATAAGAGAGAGAGAGAGAGAGAGAGAGAGAGAGAAATCTCTAAATGTTTTTCTTCTTTCAGTGAAGCCATTTGCAAATAACATTTGTGTAGTTTTAGCTAACACAAACAGTTATAATTCTTTTTTACACAGCCATTTGTATCCTTTAGAAGAGGGCGGCTGTTTTTGTTACTGTGCTTTAAGAATAATATGTAAATAAGCTCTGTTCCAATTGGCTGCCCTGTATTGTGCCACATTCAAAAAGCACTTGGAGCTGAAACAGTTCTTATAACGACAGTGTGAATGGACAGAGCTAAATTGCTCTTTAAATTAAAATAGGTGGAAATATGTAAATTGTTTTGGTTGCATTGCATTGTTTTTTTTTGTGACATCATGAAAACAGTGAATTCAAAATGGGCTGTTTTCACAGCTTAGTTTCTGATATGGACTGTATGGACTAGGACATTTGAACAATGTTTACTTACTATACATACTATTATTTCAAAAACGGTGAGGAAAATTTAAAACTTAACGGGAGTGCTTACTGTGGGTGGGGGCGGTGTAAAAGAAACATGTCAAAGAGAATGAAATAATGAAGAAGACAAGAGCCAGATAGAGTTAGACAGGTGGAAAACTACAACGAGCACAAGCTGCAAACATCAGAGAAAAAGAGGAAGCTGAATGAGGGGCAGCGGTGTTTCGGCCCCGGATGGGAGAGAAGAGGAAGAGCAGGTGAAGGGATAAAGCCAAGGCAATGATGTCAGCAAAGTTTAACAGAAAACAAAAGTCAGGCGATGTGCTGGCATGAGAAGAGAGGGAGAGCGAGAGTGCTGTGTTTGCGCTGGTTAGCTTAGCGAGGTGCAGATGCCGTGCTGGAGTCAGGCCCATTTTGGATCTGTTCATTTATTCATGATGACCTCATTACGAGTGCTGACCTTAAGCTCCGTCTCGTACTGCATCCGCTCCCCGCAGACCCGCACCAGACTGTCCTGCAGCTGCTGCAGCCTACAGCACACACAGGAACACACACACTCAAACCAGCTGAGTTAACACACCAGAGAAAGTTGGATGAGGAAGCAAGTTACAGAAATAGTAATGAGGGGGAAAAAAGTTTGAAAAAGATATGAGAAGGTGAGAATGAAACACAGAGAAAATGAGAGCAACAGAGGAAGAGAGGGAAGGAGAGAGAGAGAGAGAGTGAGTGCGAGTGAGCGCCAAGTGAAACAGACTAATGAAGAAATACTGCTGCAGTAAAGTGTTATATGGGGCAGAGTGAAGGAGAGTGTGTATGTGTGCTCTTGCTTGTCCTGAAGCTGTGATATTTCCTCCATATGTCTGTCTTGCAGGTTCTGCTTCTCTCTCTGAGCCTCCTTTTCACACTCCTCCCTCACACGCCGCTCGGCCATCGATACACGCTTCCCTTACACGCTCCTGTGTGTGCCAGAGCATACATGAGAGATAGAGGCATAAATATAGATTTTATTTATAAGCTGTCTTTTTCAGACCCATAAAGAATCCATAAAGACACCAAAAACAAAAATCCTGTATGTAAGAGTGAATTAAAGTGTAGAAACACGGTGCTCCAAAGCTTAGGGTCAGTGGCTCTAAATGAACAAGCACTCACAGTAGACAGGTAAGTATGAGGAATATCAGCAGATCTAAGAGAATGAGAGAATTAGAGGGGAATGAGTTAGGGAACATAACTGTGCCATACTCTGCAGTACTTATATTATTTAAGTTGTATTGGCTTCACACACCCTCTTTTGTCTCCAACCTTTTAATTTTACTGTTCCGTTTTACAACATTGGGTTATGAAAAGGTATAAAAATGTACCTTACCACTGGAAAAAGACTTATTTAAGGGACACAGTTGGACCTTAAACCATTATTGTACCTTGATGAACGAAAAATGTACCTGCACTATGCCTTTTTCTTTAATGGGTATGTATGGAAAGAGGCTTTTTTTTTCAGGAAAGGACCATTCAGTGCTGTACACTCATTACCCAATCCTCGCTATGGAACACATCTTCTTCTCAAAGGGCTTGTTCATAAGCTGATTAGTTGGATCAGGTGTGCTGGGAGTAGGAGAACACTAAAATGTGCACAAAGGGGTTAGTTCAAGACCGGAGTTGGGAACCTCTGGTCCACTACATCAGAAACCCTATGCTGTAATATATTAAAATGTAAAGGCTAGTCATTAGCTGTAAAACAGTAGTGGGGAAACAGAGGGCCGGAGTCCAGAGTTTCATGATTTCCGTGGTCTAACACCCCACTAAACTGTATGTTTGAGCAGTACAATAAGCAACCGTTGCAGGAATTGGACCTTTCAAGATTCCAGGTTAATCTAGCAATATAAAACTCGTTTTAGGAAAGTCTGTTCACTTGGCAGCCATCTTTGCAACACCTCCAGGCAGTTATTTCCAGTCATACAAGACCAAGGGCTGGATTCACCAAAGTGTCTTAAGAAAGAAAATCTTCTTAAATATATTTCCTTTCTTAAGTTTATTCTTAAGGAAAGCTATGAAGGAAGGAAATGCTATTCTTTAAATAACTCTTATTTTCTTAACTATTTTGTTAAGAATAATTCTAAGAACAAGTGGTACTCTTCAAAGCATTATGTTCTTAAGTTTCTTAACCTTACAATAGCCTCACACCTGTCTTTGGCTATAGAGGAGGTAAGCATCTAAATTCATCAAAACACAGACACTGCCTCTGCTGCTCCGGCCCATCCTCATCACTTGCTTTCCTGCAATCACCCCACAATTTTTGTATTTTCCAAAGAGGATTTTTTTTCCTGTTGGCTGTTTCTTCTACTATCCCCTCTAGTTCTTGTTTGCTAAAATTTTTCAATTGCTTGGTTTAATGTACTTCATCCATTTTGCTGTCCTGTGAGTGGATTGAATAATGGAAATAGCAGTTAATACAAATTAAAAATGTATCTCACGGCATTTAAGGTAAGCTGTAAAATGCACCATAGTCTACATAAGAAAACAATGAAGATTTTCTTAAGAAAATCTTAAAGAACTAATTCAGATTTTCTCATAAAAATATTTGAGAACTTCTAAAGTTTTTTTCTTTTTTTTAACGAGAATTTAATTTAAGAACTTTTTTATTGAATTCTTAGTGTTTGTCTTAAGAACCTTTTCAAGTTATTTCTTTAGAAAGCTTTTGTGAACCCATCCCCAGGTTCCTAGCTCTGTTTTTAGGTCTTTAAGAAAGACCTAAAAATGCAAAACTGAAGGCCAAATTAGCACTTAAAAAATTACCTGAAATCATGATCGGTGGTTTTTATTGTAGGGCAGGACTTCCTTCAAGTCCAAGTTGAGCATTACGTACTTTTCCGGTCATATTTTAACCATTGACTGGTCTTCTCCTTTAATATCTCTGGTCATATTCAGAGTTAGACTTTAAGTTTAAATATCTAATGTAGGATTAACTGAAAAACTGCAACATACAAAGTAAAACATGTCCTGAATGTCTGTTAGAAGCTTCAGATGCCCACATTCAGGCTAGAACTGCTGTAACTAATATTAAAACCAGTCTGGATAAGTCAAAATACAGCAACGTTAGCTTGGGGCTGACACTGAAAATGTCATTAAAGGGTTAAAAAAGTTAGCAATAGTTTAGTGGTGTTAATCGGATAAAAAGGCTTCTTTTAAAGTAGAAGTTTCTACATTAAACATTGCTGTATTTGCACATGATCATGATTATATAATAACAATATTGAAAAAGCTTATGAAATTATTATGGATCTCTCCAGTTCTGAACTTTTTTTTAGTGAAACATTTCATCAAATATTTTTGACCAAAATAATCTATAAGATATACTATACCATACATTATGTATGACAATAAGAACAAAAAGATCCTTTTTTTATGTAACAAGTGTGCAGAGTACGATCAAATTTAACTAAACCATCACCTAAAAAAAATCGTGGTCTTTAGAAATTCAAAATCAAGTCATTGTTTTATGATCACATCTTAGCACTGCAAATCAAACGGTGAGGTCCCTAGAGATTTCCACCCTTGTTTTCAACCCCTGCTGTAGAGACTGAGGAGGTTAGACAGTGTAGCCCACCTGTTGATGCAGAATCTGATGCAGAATCTGATGCAGAATCTTCTATTCCTTATACAATGGTCAGTTTCTGACCACAGTGCTGCTCTTGGCTATTTTTGGGTGTTGGACAACTTTCAACCTACCATTGACAGTGACGTGTAAAAACCCTAGCAGCATCACTCTGATACACTCATACCAGCACCACTCACACTACCATGTAAGTGTTGAGAAAGGTCTACCCCCCACATAATACTTGGTCAACAGTGGTACTGTAGTCAGAAACTGACCAGTGATGAACGGGCTAGAGGTGCAGGACAATAGATGGGCTACAGTCTATAATTGTAGTGGAACTAGAAGCAAGGTGTTTCTGATAAAGTGGCCAGTGAGTGGAAATACAAGGGAGGGGTTTCTACTAAAATGACTCCACCTCCATCTGTTCCTGTATGACCCCCATCTCCTTTTCTCTCTCCATCTCTGCCTCCCTCTTCATCTCCTCCTTCAGCCTCCTGCAGGCCTCTTGCACCTCCATCTTCTTCTCCTCCTTCATCTGCTCCCGCAGTCCAGCACAGTGAGCCTCGAGCTGGACCTGCAGGTTTGCCTGCTGACCCTGAATCGCCTCAGCCTCCAGCCTCTCCCTGGCCTGCAGAGCCTCCCGGAACTGGGCTCGCAGACACTACGCAGAGAAAGAAAGGGAAGAGGCAGGCAGAGAAATGGATGAAGGAAAAGATAGAGGATGAAAGGAAGGTGGAGTTGAATGATGAGTTAGGGGGAATGATTAAGGAAGACAGTAAGGGGAAGAGGAATTAGCGGAAAGAGAAACAGAGACAGAGAGGTGGGGAAAAGCATGAAGAGACAGAGTGAGGGAGGGATAGGAAGAGAAGGGAAGAGAAGGATGGATGATCGGGGCTGGCAGGGTTGACTGTACTGAGCTTTTGAAGATGAGAGCAGTTTCGGGCTTTGGCTGCCGTACGCTCTCCCCAGAGAGCAATTACACAAGCAATTACAGCCCATTACGCAAGGTCTCCTCACTGGTCCACACACATACAATGGCAGCTGCCTAACTGCTGATGCCGCGTGCACTTCATCTCCCTCTAGGAGGCAACAGAGATGAGAATTTGTAAAATGTAACGCTGCCCACAATTAGCAGAAGCACAGCAAAACAACATTCAACAGACATTCTCAAAATAGTACAAAGTTTGTCATTGCTCAAGAGAACAGCTTCTTTTGAAGCTACCAAAAGATCTGTTCTTACACTGATATACAATCAACTACTGAGCGTAAAAAATGACATGAAGAGTTTGTTTGTTTGCTTCTGGAGTTAAAAGGCCAAAATGTAGGCATCATGTAACAGAAGCTTATACCCCACTATTACCATTGTGCAGACTGCATGTCTAAATCATCACACACTTGTCTCAAACCATATCAAATAGTTAAGTAATCTCAAATAGACATGCTTATGTAGTTCTGGACAATTTATGATGTTCTGCAATCTATAAAAATTGACAAAAATGTGTCGCATATCTCATCTGATGCACAGTACTGTGCAAAAGTCAGAATCACCAGTGGATTTTTTCAGATCTGAAGCAAGAGTGGAGCTTAATTTTCTCCTCTCTCTCAAAGATGAAATCTTTAAGTTCTGTTTATCTGATGGTGACCGTTTTGGTGGTCTACCAGGTTTTGCTCGGTTGTTAAGAGTCCCTTTTTCTATGTCTTAATTTTTTGAGCCCCACTTTTGGGAATTTTTTGGTTTTTTTCCCCATTTATTTTGCTTTCTTCACTTATTTCCCCCTTTCTTATGCAAATGTATCATCTTCAATCTAAGAAAAAGAAAAAGCTTGCACTTAATGGCCATTTTGACTGGAAATCAAAAAACAAGGGTGGTCTCACACACAGTACTGCACATGAAATAGTGTTTCCAAATCTGTAATCAAGCACCTCACATTTTTTTCCAGTAGTGACTGATTAACTGCAAGGATTTTGACAGAAGGAGCAGAAATATGGTGCAGATTAAGACCTTGGACTGGTGACTGTTAATACTGTTATTAGCCAACTAAAAAGCCCATCCTGAGTTGAAGCGAATGTGTTAGAGCAGAGAAGAGAAGAAAATATGCAGGACAGTGTATCCAAGGACCAGAATGGTGGAAAACATTTCCAGTGCAGTTACAACAATTCCCTGCCTCACGTGATCTAGCTGATGAAGGGCTTGATAATTAGCTCATGGGCTGAATCAGGTGTGTTGAGGCCAGGACTACTTGAAAGTGTGCAGCGGGTTCTCTGAGCAGGATGAAGAAGGACTGTTCAGGATAAACACTTGAGATACCTCCTCCTGGAGCTTTAGGGCCTTCTCTTTTTCTTCTTCAGCCCACTGCTGAAACTCCTCCATCCAGGGGTAATCTGGCTGTGCCATCTCCACCAAAGGCAGCCATGCTGTGGAAGAGTCTGGAACTGATGTGCGGAGAACATCCATGGTGGAGGAGGAGGAAGCAGGCAACTCAGAGGAAAGCTTCTCTCCTAATGCTGAGGGGGAAACATCTTTTCCTTTTACTATATGAGAGCCACAATTATGTCAGTCCAGAAGAAAAGACAGGTCTAAAGGAGTGGGAGCTCTCAGGGAGTTAGCTGAACTACAGGCCGCTGGCGAGATAAGGGTGCGCATACAGTGCTTGAAAATGCCACAGTCATTTGTCTAGCTTTGGAGAGGGAGACTAGCAATTAGGGGACTGTCATTGCAGGGCTGTGTTCAGGTTGTTATGAGAGAGAGAATGCTCTGCACGGCCTTCTACTCAGAAATGTGCTATTGTGGAAGAGCTGAGAGCCGCTTCTCCGAGTGCCGGGGCGCAGTGAAAGTTTCTCAAAGAGTGTGGGGGAGAGAGGGGGGGAGAGGGAGGGGGAGGGGAGAGAGAGAGAGAGAGAGAGAGAGAGAGAGAGAGAGAGAGAGAGAGAGAGAGAGAGAGAGAGAGAGTAGAGAGGGTGTGAGAGAAGAAAAGCAGAGAGAGAGTAAGAGAAAGAAAAAAGAAAAGAGAGGGTGAAAGAAGAGAAAGGGTGAGAGAAGAGAAAAAGAACAGAGGAAGGGAAAGATAATGAAAAAAAGATAAAAAGAAAGGGAGAGAGAAAAAAGGGTGTGAGGTGTGAGAAGGTGAAAGAGACAAAAAGTGTGAGTAAGAAAGGGAAGAGAAAGTAAGAGGATAAAGAACAAAAGGGAGTGGGTGAGAGGGAAAGACAGGGAAGAGAGTGAGAGAGACAAGGCAATGGAGAGAGAAAGAAAGAAAAAGAAAGAAGGTGAGAGACAGAAGAGAGAGATTGGGAAAGATAATGGAAGAAAAAAGATAAAAAGAAAGTGAGAAAGAAAAGGGGAGAGAACGGGGGTGTGAGAAGCTGAGGGAGAGAAAAAGAGTGAGTAAGGAAAGAGGGTGAGAAGAAAAACAAAGGAAAGAGAGAGCAAGAGGGAGGGAGTGAGTGAGAAAGAGAGGAGAGTGAGAAAGATGGTGAGAGAAAAAGAAAGAAAAAGAAATAAGAAAGAAAGAGAGGGTTTGAAAAGAAAAGCAGAAAAAAGAAAACAGAAAGAGTGACAAGAAGAGAGAAAAAGAGTAAGGAGGACAGAAAGGAGAGAGAGAGAGAGAGAGAGAGAGAGAGCGAGCAAGCTCACGTAAGAAGGTGTCAGACTTTAGACGACTGTTTTGGAGATCAAAGCGTTTTGTTATATGTATGCAATGAAGTTACAAATATACTCAGAGTGTGTCAATGTTCTCGTTACTGATTCTGCACTTACCCAGAATGTGTGTATGGAGGACCCTCTGAGTGGTCAGTGTTGTTCTGTTGACCATTCTCTCCAGAGGGTTCAGGTCTGACCTTCTGGTCCCACTCAGGGTCATTCTTGCTGGGGTAGACATTCTTCTCCACTGCCCCTTGTCCTCTAGAGCACCAGAACTAGGTGCTTAAAAACACACCACTCTCCTCTACTTTCTGCTTGCTGCTTTCCCCTCACTCTGTCTCTGAAGTTGGTCTCTAGGCAACTTGAACAACACAACAGAAGACCGCTCCAGCTTGGCACTCGAGAATAAATTGAACTAACGGATGTGAGACAAGACATTTGTGTGTTTGATTGTTGAACTGTGTGTACAAGGAAGTTTTATGTCTTACCTCCCACTGTGCTAGTTACCTAACTTGTTGTGTTGCAGTGTTTCTACCAGGTCTTTGGAATATTCTATCTATTTAATATTCTTCCATTTTTAGCTATAAGTGGTATAAAAAGTCACTTAGGGCCCCCAAAACACCAGGTGGGCCCCAGGGTACATTATTAATATATAACATCAAATAATGTAAAAGCTGTTTACTATTATTTGTCAAAACATGTTGAATCCAGACATTCCTACATTGCTTATTTATCAAAATGAATTAAGTACTAACTCTTGCTCTATTGTCACATACAAAAGGACATAGTTGGTGTGGGTGGAATCCGGGGCCTCCCCAAGTAGAGTGTCGCTTTGGGCCCCTAAATGTTCTGAAACAGCTGACAGTTGTTAATGAAATCACATACTCAAAATTTATTAGAATCCAAAATACACTGTCAAACATCACTGCTGTTTTCAAAAGACAGACTGCTGCAGTACAATGTCCTATTAAAAAAACACAACACTCTAAAAGAATAAACAAGAGAATACATATGAAGTTTATTGGGTGTTTTTCTGTGGAGATTCACCTGTCAAAGTTAGACCTCCTAGTGGACAGAATCTGGAACTGCACTCTGACTGACCAGCATCAGACAAGGTGGAGTTCATAAAAGTTGCTGTTTAATATTGATCTGGGACCAGTAACTGTAAGATCAAACATTTCAGATATAAAATTCTGAGAATTTAAAAATGCATGAACAGTTTGGGGCTTTCATTAATTCCGTGGAGGAAAACTGTAAACTGCAAACACCAATCACTTACAATTTGTCACAACAATACACATTTTTACACAGCACATCTTTAATAAATCGTAACTGGAAATCACACAACTGATCTCAGCTCAACTAATTAGCAACTGCATTCAGAAAGGGAGAGCTGCACAAAAAGGCTTCATCAAAGCACTTGAATGAAGAGATGCCACATTATGAAATTAACTACAGTCTGCCAATAGTCGTCTGCATCCTGCGAAGAGCATGTTCGGCAAGGCTGAAACATTCAGATCCAGCGTTTGTCTGCTTTAAAAATATAGAGAGACCAACATATAACAAGCAAATAATCACAAGGTGTCTAACACCAGTCCCATTATATTCCAAAACACCTGTAAACATGTGAGACTATGTAGACTCAAGACACTCACTGGATTTTAGTAAACTGAAATAGAGTAAAGGTATTAGCAGAAGCTTGGTGTTACACACACACACACACACACACACACACACACACACACACACACAGTACAGTTATCACTGGATTACAAAAATAAGCATCTTACTGGCACAGAGCAGCACTATGGCACATGTAATAAATGTAGACATCTCTCACTGGATCAGCAGAAGCAGAAGGGTAGAGCTGTGGAGGAGAACAGTACACAGACAGAATGAACTCTGCTTGCCTCTGTGTGTTTGTTTATCTGTGGACCTGAGAGTATAGGCTCATATCGCTGCTTCCTTTTTATCTCCTACACAATCGCTTAAGAATGGAGACAATAGCTTTTTCATATTCAAAGAAAATATCTGTCTATTTTCAAAGAGGGGGAAAAGCTATTATAGTTCACAGTTTTGGCCTAATCATAAACAATTATCGTGTCAAAAGCAGGTTTAAACGTCAAAAATGTTGGAGTATTGAGCTCAGAGCGCAACAAGAGCATTGATGAAAGAATCTGAATCCCTTTCCAGCGCAGCTCAGTTCAGCTAATTCCTTTCTTAGAAGAATGTTACAGCCCAAGAAAATAAAACATATCTGACAACTCATGAACTCCAAATGAACTAACTGACTCTGTAGAAGTGAAAGGGGATTTTTGGCTGGTTTGGGCCTTGAGTTTAAGACATTCATTAAATGAGCTTTTACATTCCACTTATATCTTTCACTTATATGCATGATCTGTTGCTGTTGGAAGCTATAGAATGCCTATATTAAAAAGAACTGAAAGCTTTTCCATAGTCAGTAAATGTCTCTCTTTAGTTTGTTGGTCCTGGATTGTGTCAATCAAATAGAACACAATGGGCAGTATTACACAACCCTGCAATTCACCTCAACATTCAATACTCAATAAAACAGGCAGTTTGCAGAATTTGGTTTAGAACGCAAGAAAGGAGGTTTAGTAGTTATAGCTGATGTCTCTAGTTCTCAAGCACAGTTGGCTGTTCCTGCTGGCCCTCTTCACTGCTTGAGCCCAGCGGTCCAGCCCACCACAGCACGAGCGCATTGTCCTCTCTGATGCCGTTTGATGACATCACCCTGTCCTCCTCTGGCTCTGAGCCTGAGTCGTCGCTCTCAGTGGGCCAGGGGAACTGACGCTGACCACTGCAGGACGCCACTAAAGGCATGAAGGGGTGGATGCTGGACGAAATGCACAAAGGAAGGGAAAAAAATACAAAGAGCTGAAAGATTCCTTAAAATTAAATGCAGCACAAGGTTGTAATTAGCACTGTTCTTAAAACTGGCGTCAACTTCAACACTTGACATAGTATTTAAAACATTAAAGACGTCAACTGAACAGGCTTACAATATTCCCAGTGCAGGGTAGCACTTAATATCAGAAGCACTAATCTCTGACATTTTATCTACTGATACATAGACATTTCTTATCAGTCTGAAATCACATCTGCCTTAAGATGAAGAGTCAGATCTCTAGTGTAAGACCCATCTTTAAGTCTTTTCATAATAACCTTTTAAAAGCAGTAAAGCAGGCTAATGTGATCAACAGAAACGTCTGGTACTGTAGCAGTACTGATGTTACCTGATCCCATTTGTGCAATCCCTGTGAGCCTGAAACTGCTGGAAGGGCTGCAGTACTTCTTCATTGCCATCAGGAGGCGCTGTAAGTGTGTCCCACACTGACATCATACCTTCTGTGTCGCCACTCACCAGGTACCGGCCAGACCTACACAAAACACAAACAAGAACACATACATAAACACTCAAGATCTAGTGAGATCACAAGAGCACAACAGGTGTAAGTATATTTATGAATTTCTGATTACACAATGCTGTCACTTACAGGTCCAGGTCAAAGTAGATGCGCTGGTTAGTGTTTATGGTTCTGGGCAGTGAAAACAGAACTCTACCTGGGTCTCTAAGATCCCAACAGAGAATCTCTGGGTCCTACAAACACAGACACAGTTAGGGTCTATGGCTGAGCTACATGCAACTACATTAATTGCTAGAAAAATTATGTAAATAAAATCTGTTCATCCTAGACATATGGAGGCTGAAAAACGACATCTACTACTGACTACCTGCTCTCATACCCACCTTGCGGCCGCCTGTGTACAGATGATAGCCATCAGGGGAGAAGAGCAGGTGGGTGACTCCTCCATGGTGGCGCTGGGGCAGAAGGGCCAGCTGAGAGCCGTCCTCACACGAGTACAGCCCCACAGTGCGGGAATACGAGCCACACGCATACACCGCCTGAGACGGACTGAACGCCATACAAGAGATAATACCACTCTGACCATGCTTCTTAACTGGTGATGAGGAGAGCGAGAGAAGAGGGGAGGAAAAAAAAAGAAAAAAAGGAAAAAAAAAGGATAACCCATAGACAGGAAGAAAAAAGAAAAAAAGAAAGTACAGAGAAAGGATGATGGGAAGGGAGGAAGAAGAAAAAGAAAAAGAATTTAATTGGGAAGAACATTTCATGAGTATTTTGCATTCCTTGCACGTCTCTAGTTCGTAACAAGCACACCTGGCACTGTTTGATAAAAAAAAAAAAAGAAAGAAAGAAAAACGTTAAATTATTAGTTTCAGTTTTGCAGACTAGAATCCTAATTTGGCTCCAGAGCAAAATAATTACAAGCAAATAATTAGTTCATTCCATCTTCAGCACAGCAGGCCAGTTTTTCATGCTTGAAGAACTGGACATTTCCTGCACTGAAGGGAGTGAAAGCTCTAGAAAAAGACAATGAACTACAGCTACACAATATGGGCAATATTATACCATGTAATAAACATTACATACGCAGTTATATTACTACAAACAACAGCAATGTGTAAATGCAATGGTAAACCTTTAAAGTGACATGGTTAAAGACTAGACTGTATTATTCTGATCAAAATAATTTACTTATGCTGTATTATGTTTCATCAACACCCACAGAAACAGTCATCTGGAAATATGATTGCGCACACGGGTGCTTAGTTAGAGGGTTCATTTGCATATTCAGCCTTCTGTGATTTCAGTATTGCAAAAGTCAATTTGACAATGCTGATTAACAAAATGTATTATTTATATAATATGCGGCTGTGTGCTGTGTTCTCTCACCAACAGTGGGTCTCTCCTCACAGTCTCTGCCTGGACGCTCTGTGTAGAACACCCTGACAGTCTTCTCGAATCCACAATAGAGCTGTGAGCCGTCCGGAGAGAAACACAGAGAGTGGGCCGCTGTCAGCTCGTCCAGATGGTTGTAGGGTCTAAATGTCGCACGAAGGTCACCGTAGAACGCATCCCATATGTGGACTGGGTTGTCACGGCTACTGCTGGCAATACTGGAAGAGGAAAGGAGGGGGAGAGAGAGAGAGGAGAGTAAGTGACTGAGTGGGGCAGGTCATGCATAGAAAGCAAATAAATGTTCTTGACTCAGAAGTCACATGCAGAAAGATTAAAGCATGAGTTGTTATCATAAGCCTATTAGTTTAAAACCACTTTCAACTCAGCATGGACAGTTAGGTCTATTCAGTTCTATGTGACTCCATTCTATCCCACCCTCTTAAGATGCAGAGCCATAATAGTCAAAAATGTGGAAACTTTAAATATATGACACATTTTACAAGGGCATAATTACATAGCCGACCATGCAAGAAAGTGGTCCTATTCTCCTCTCATCCGCTCCTTGTTCCAGCTCTGGGAAAAAGAAAACAATTACGGCACTACAATTTCACAGTTTAGGCTGGACCATTTCCCAGAAAGGAAAACAAAAGCGCTCAACAGCAGATCCGCTTGGCCATCTCTCCGGGAGAGTTGCGCTGTTTGCCTTCTGACTATGAGAAACTGAGATCGCACTTCTGGAGCCAACATAGAATGAGGAGGAAATAAATACCCATGGTGCTTCCCTGCAATAGAGCAGTCAATTGTAGCAGCCTATGTTAAAGACAAACCCCACTGGGCTTCAGTTTAGATTACAATGATTCAACGATTAGAATGTCTAGCGAGCATGCATACACAAGGCTGCTGCCTGATCATGGTGGAAATGTTTCCCATGGTTCTACCTCCTCCTGGCAGACCAAATTCGGAACCACAGCTTTTGTTTTGAGTGTGTCTCTCAATGGGTCTACTCTCCACTGGGCCCTTCTTCATCATAACACCATCCTTCTTCTGCCTGTGATTTCATCCTTGACCTCTTCACCCCTCGTTTTCTGTTGCCGCCGGGCGAAGGCGGTTCACCCAAGCAGTGTGTTTGATCAGCACGATGTGCGTGTGTTGGGAAAACATGGTTAACGAGCCCTCCTTAGTGGCCTACAGCCATCGCCTGTGACAAAAGAAGTCTCCTTGGAGACGACTGTACAGTACTTATTTCGGCTTCTGTCTGCGTTTGGATAAACGATGAGGCCACTGAGACACCTATTTGCGCACAATAACATTGCTCAATAAAGAGGAATCTGCAGTACAAGTCCAGAGGTGATGAAAATGGCTGAAGGGGGAAGATCAGGGACTACTTAGAATGTCCCTTAACGCCTCCAGCAGTACTGTTGCCTGGTGCACACACATATACAGATACACACAGCGATGCAAACAGATGCTATATTGCTCATATATTTCTCTTTTCCCCTTCTCTCAATTTCTCTCGGATGGGGCGTTTCATTTCAAAGAAAGCAGTAAAACCAGAGTATCCAAAAGCTGATTTGGCAGACTGGTTCATGAATTCTGGACAAGTACCAAGACACCTGGAATGAAACAGTACTCAAGGCTGCTTTGAGGATGCAATATAAAACACCCATTGGAGACATGTGAGGTCAGAGTCCTGCAAAATTAAAATATTGTTCCAGTGGAATACACCTTTTCTCTTTTTACAAAAAGGTCTTTCATCTTGCATGAAGGACTGAATTTTGCTCACCATAAATCTAAAAATCTATCGAAACTGCTGTTTGTCTGAGTGGGCCCCCTCGCTAGCAACGACTTGCCAGCTTGGGTTGTTCCACTGTTAGTTGGCCGAGTAACACCATGTTAAGCCTCTTACATCTTCTAATAAATTGCTACTGAATATCCTACAGTCCCAGGTGAAGTCTAAGACGATCATGACTCTCTCCCCCAGTCTCATTCTGGTTCTACTCTCTAGGCCTATCCACTACTCCTTAGTTTGCGCATTGATGTGGAGGACTAACCACATTATGGGCTGTCCAAAACTGGATGGCAGGGAGAGGAAATGGCCTATAAAATACTGTGAAAGTGAGTGAGCAGCTATACAGACTTAAAGGGAAATTCCACCAATTTTCCTAAATTATTCAGATATTGAGACAAAGTAATCCAGAGAGGTCTGATGTGAAATGGCTCATTGTAGAGAAACTTACTGCCTCAGATTTTTTTACAGACTCTGCAATGTCTACAATGCAAAGACAGCAATTTTATTGACTATACAAAACCAGCAGTAAATCTACTCATGCCTTGTGAGTTTTTATATGTGAAGTTGATAATAGATAATAGACCAAATAGTGGAAAATACCTTTCTGCCAGAAATAGACTAAAAAAAGTGTAACTTCATATAGAGTGTTATGCTGTTTTCTACTGTTCAATAAGGTATGCTACACTGCAGTAACAAATGGAGGATCACACATTTTTTCATCATTTTCACTGCCCAGCGAACTGTGCTGAACCCGAGTACCCATGCTGAATTTGGTTACCCTTCTTGTTTTGGTACCAAGCATGCCAAGCCAGAATGCATGGGTGGAGCCAGAAATGGTTCAACTGTTTTTATCAGCAGGTTTCTACAGAAACTGGCATGTTATCTCTCAAAACAAGCAAAATTAAGTAGTTTTAGATGTAATTCTTAAAACAAGCCAAATTATCTGCCTAGAATAAGGCAATTTCTCTCGATACAATTATTTAAAAAGTAAAAAATGTTAATCTTTCAATATTCTTTCATTCAAAATTACATTTCATTCAAAAAAAAACATTTATTGACTAGACACATTGATGTGATTTAAGACAATTTAACTTGCCAAGATATCATTTTTTGCAGTGCAAATTGCAAGGCTGCTCCCCCTAGCAGATCCTGCCTGCTACGCCTTGGCTGTGGCAGCTGCTAGATCAAGCCACAGCTAATGGAGACAGAAGCAGTTCTTGCATAGTTCCTCCAAATCCAGCACCTTGCCCAAAGCCTCATTAATACTTCAGCCTGAAGAGAAAGAGCTTACCAATACTTATGAGGCCTTCTTGTCAAACGGATAAATCCCTGGTCAAGGCCTAAAATTAAGGCACACCTGAAGTACATGTGGAAATTCCTTTCTCATTTAATAGTTGCATGGAACTCCCTGCTCAAACCTGTAAACATGGAGAGAGTTGCTGGATAACTCCTCCTTTTAGTCATGGAGCTACACTGCCTGAGATTATACTAAGCCTTTGGATTCTCTAGCTCATAGTCACTGCCATGTTTGACTGGCTCAGAGCCAGCACTTTAGGAGTGTCTACTCACAGTGCCTAGGCAATTGTTTGGTACCATGGCTTAAGACCAGTATATACCAGTATCTCTGTTTTTGAAAAGCCCTCTAAGCAAGGAACTCCAGGTCTGGACTGATTCTACCATCATCTGGCATTAGCAAATGCCCAATTCGGCAGTTCCCTCTAAGGTTTTAAACTCTTATTTTGGCAATCAGCAGATTGAGTAGGCTTCCTTCTCAAATGACCAGCGCACCTGTTGCTCCCTGTTGGTCTAGTCCTTAAAGAACAATGTGGATTTTAAGGCCAAACAAGTCACTGCTGGTACATTAAGAAAACACACTGTCTTTACATTTAAATAGCTTTGCATCCACCTTAGACCAGCATACTTTTTTTAAACATTTAGACATGACTTTGCTGGTATTCATAATGCATTGTACAACACATCAGCTGTGGTGATCTTCCAGCATTTATAGAACCACAGTCATATTCATAATTAGCACACAGAGTGCTGGGGATTTCTAAAGCTTGGGTACCTGGATTCAGCCTTATTCAGCAACAACAAATGGCTTTAGAAAGAGAAAAAAAACAAAAAAAAACAAAGTCTGGCTGCGGGAGACAAACACAGAACTGACAATATTTGTGGAACAAGAAGAAAGATCAATTCCAGATTGCACACCCAGTCCATTTTCTTTGGGTTCAGATAACACAACATATACAGTCCATCAACGTCTCTCATTGCAAAGCTGATGCAAGAGAAGGGGCACTCACAAACAGGTGTCTGGGTCCAGGGAACTCATCTTAGGAAACCAGCAGTAGTCATAGATGGTGTCTCCCTCAGTCATCCTCAGCACAGGACTCTAGATGTAGACAAACAGAAGAAAACAACTATTATGATCTCTTAAGAGATTTCATCATCAGTTCTTCAATCAGCCAGTGCAGCAGAGCAGGCAGACAGTCAGACTAGAATTTTTTCTCAACAGACATTTCTACAGAGATAGTATCCTTTAACAACCCTAGGAACTCTAGGAAAATCTATATCCCCTTTGACTGGAGCATGTACTGCATGAAAAAAGGTAGTGATGTGTCTTAAATTTTTGCTTTTCCACAGTCTGGAGAGTAAATCCATATAAGAATGAAAGAAAACAAACCACTTCAGATAACATATATTAAATGAACAGTTCCAGTTCACTGTTTCTATCAGAGAGTTACATTCAAACTCATGACATTACGATCTCAAGCATACAGTCGTAGTGAGCTGAAAAAAAAGACAGAACAACACTCAACATTTAATTAACAGCAGAAAGTAAAATTCTTCACTATTTAAAAGTGAAACATGGGACTTTCATCTCTTCGTATTCTTTAGTTATTCATATAATACAAAAACAGTACCTACATTTTAAATATGCCATGCAATGTTTGTGTTTAAAGGTCATTTTTAGAAACTTCAGCCTGAAAGAATATATGATTAAAGTTTCAGTGAACTTCCAAAGGTTTTGCCTGACATTTAAATGACCCAAAATAAAATCCGCAAGCCTAGTTGCAGAAGGACTAATATACAAGAGGCCTGTGTTAGTATTACTGTTCCTTTAAAACACAAACATCAAATGACATACAGTTTATGGTGCATTGTGCCAACTAATTCCAGGGTTGTCTGAGGTTATAATTTAAAAAATCATCAATAACATGCTGATAAAATCTCCCTTTTCACAGAATGCAACACTCTGTCGTAACAAAAGTAAAAGATGTCCACATTATTAACAATGATGAAGCAAATAAGCACCAATGCTAGCTGGAACAGCATAAACAAACGAATATAGAAGTTGGAATAGGGCAGAAACTGACCATTTCTGACAGCAGGTCCCAGCTGCCACTGTAGAGCTCAGGCGGGAGATTATAAACACGCAGCACATTATCTGCACTGTTTGAGACGATACAGGAACCGTCTGGAGCCCTGAGAGAGAGAGAGAGAGAGAGAGAGAGAGAGAGAGCGAGAGAGAGCGAGAGAGAGAGAGAGAGAGAGAGAGAGATTTGGTTTTCTATGCACTGTTTACATCTGTGTGCATCATTTTTCAGTCTTTGCTCACCATTTGCAGCCTTTGAGGTAATTCTCAGGACAGTGAGTGTATTCTGCCCAGGACCCTGTCAACATCTGGGGGTTCTGACTGAAATCCAGGCCAAGGCTGTGGAAAAACAATATTACATTGACCTAAGACATAAAAACAGTTTAGGAGCTGAAAGATAAATGGGCATGATCATAGCAGCTATTCTTTCTTTTGGATGATGATTAGTATGTCATTATAATTTTAGAATCATTTTCTGGTTGTTCTTGACCAGCAACTAAATAAAGACGCAAATAAAGACCAACTTTACTTACTATTGGCGCTGGCAGGCACTGCCTTCTGGACTGGTGTTTTCCAACTCATCTCTTGTCTTATCCTCTCCTCCCTCAGATTGTCCCATTGTCTCCTTGTTCTCTCCTCCATTCTGGAAGCACTCCTCCTCTTCCTCTCCTTTTTCTGATCCTCCCGCTGTCTTTCCATCGTCCTCTGGCTGACTGAGCACTGTGCAACCAATGCAACACAGACTCTGGGTCAGACACATTGTTCGAACACCTAAGAAAGCTATGACCTAAATATGTTTCTACACAGCCAAAGAGGAAAATATTTCAGCTTGTTTTAAGTCATTGAGATTAAGCAGCAAATCCAGCACAGAAGCTAGATCATAAACCGAAATCACATCAAACAAAGATGTCTGAATCTGTGTAGACACAAAAATGCAAAGCTGACATCAATGATTGCAGCAGCACACAGCAGAGAAAATTCACCTTTGTCTGTTTTCAAAACAATGTCTTGATGTCCACCAATATCCAACGCCGCTTCTGTGGCTGTCTCAGAAAAGCCAATGTCCAAACCCACTCCTTCACCAAGGCGTGGCTGTTTGGCAGCAGGCGGCGCTTCCTCCTCTTCCTCCATTTTCTGCTGACCTCCACAGCAGGGTGGATTCCGGGGACCTTCTTGAGGAGGCTCTCCATCAGCTTCTGCCTCCTGCCCTGTACCCCCCAAACCTCCCCCTTCAGAACTGGGCCCTGGATCTGACATTTCACTGACAACTCCGCCGGTCTCTTCTTCTTCTTGTTAACAACAAAAAAGTGCTGTATTTTCTTGTATGTGTGTGAAAAATTCAGAAGAAAGGTGGTTTAATGTGCACCTGTCTGACCTTGTCAAAGAGAAGTCAGGTAGGTGCTACTGGGATAATGTTTCTTTCGACAGTGGTTCAAACTGAGTCTCGATGGCACTGAAAACATTACAGCGAACACACAGTCCTGAAGAGAAAAGAAGAAGAAAAGAATGAGAGAATCAGCAATGTTACTGTAAGATAAGGAGTGTAACGATACTTCCAACCCATGATTTGATATTTTCACAATATTTTGAAAACAAAATGACATAAAAATAATGACTGTATCCATTTTGTTAATAAATCCAGAGCTGGGAAGCAGGACATCTATATGACATTAACATGCTGGAGTGAGTTGTTCCAGGAACATTAAAGAGGCATTCTAAAATGATCATTTAATCTTATTTGTCATGTTAAGTTGGGATGTCAAATCTTATCCATAAGAGGCTGGTGTGGCTGCAGGTTTTTATTCCAAACAAGCAGAGCACACAGATTCCACTTGTTTATGCAGTTAGTCTCAGTCTAACAAGTCCAGCAATTGATCAAGAGAGGCCCAGCTTTGTGTAAATGAAAACCTGCAGCCACATCAACCCTTTGGGGACAGGACTAACCATCCTGTGTTAGGTAATGTTTTGTAGTGACAGAACGTCTTGTGTTTTTGCCCAGTAACGTTCTCTCTCTGAAACAGCCAGGATGCATTACTCAAATACATCACACAACCACTGGGAGCCCCCCACAGTAATAAAGAAATACTGACTACAAGCCTAGTCACTTATGTAGAGGATAATAAATACAGATGTGATATTCACCTTCACAGCAGCAACATTATCTATGTCTTCCTTCTGTATTAGGCAGTTGGGGGGTAAAATTTTCAAACATCCCACCTTCAAGCATCTACCCCAAAGTGCTCACAGCTTTTCATAAGTTCATACCTTCAAGACACATCATCAGAATAGGGTTTACCAAAGTCTTTAAACTCGATAATCCAGACTACTGCAGCACCTCCTACACACTGAAAAAATGGTTCTTCAAGGGTTCTTTAGGAAAGGCAATGGTTCTATTTAGAACCATGAGTTCTATACAGAACAATTTCATGCTTAAATGGTTCTCTGAACTTGTTCTTCAGATTGATGGAGAATGTGTTGTGTATGGTTTTGTATAGAACCAAGTCCTCTGTGTTTGGAAAGATCCACAGCTGATGTCTGATGTATGGCTCCCCCTGTTCTGTGAGTATGGCTGTATACCGACCGACAGAGTCGTTTTGAGGAAAAAAGAGGAGAACAGAATGAACAGAATAGGGATGACGAAGCTGTAACGGTTCATATTAAGTTTAAAAAAAGGCCTAATTGCCCGACGACCACCTTACCAAGACATACTCCACAGTACATATTACCTTTTATTCACTGACATACATAGACATTTATGGACAGGCTACATGGATTGTGTCAAAACAGTGACTGACCGTTAGTGATCAGAGGATGTGTCATTTTTGGCTAACCTACGTCAGGGACGTGCGTAAAAAACCGTTAGAGCTTGACTGGCTATATTTAAGCATAACGTTTAACGAACGCTTACAGCAAGCTAACATTATCGGCTCACAAACTCGGTTTAACCTTCATAAAATACTAAATCATTCGCTACCTGAAGCCAGGCCATTACATTCATAATAACTCGAACGAATTTGTAACAGTAACGTTACCGTTCTGGTAAAGTTGTAGAAATGCGTTAATTCGAGAAACTCTTTAGCACACCGCTGGTTACCTGTTGTGCTGTTACGCTGCTGTGTCCAGTCACGGCTGTGAGGTTAACTCTGCTCCCAGCAGTTAATATCGTCACCACCCGTTACTTTAGTTTATTTACACGAAGAGTCAGAAGTTTCAGAGTTTAGATCAGCCACTAAGGCCCGTCATGAGCACACACTCATGCTGCTTGTTTACACACGGAGTGACCCGCCATATCAGCAGTACAAACACGTCAACTTATCGCGAGATTTGTCTGTACTGTACAACTCTGCACTACTCGTTTCAACCACTAGATGTCAGACACGGACTATATAGTAGAATACGGCAGAGGCTGCCAATCACAGGACTAGCGACCCCACACTCAGCACTTTTTTTGTCTTGTTAACACACCTAATTTAACTCATTAACTAATTAATAAGGTCCTTGTGGCATGGGTCAGGTGTGTACAGTAGGGCAGTGTTTCTGAACCCTGGTCCTGGAGGCCCATTGCCCTGCACTGCACTGCACTGTTTTTCCTGCTCCAAAAACACCTGATCCAACAGGCTGTTAGTAAGCAGATTAATTGGATCAGATGTGCTGGGAGCAGGGAAAACACTAAAAAGGGCAAGGCAGTGGGCCTCCAGGACCAGAGTTGAGAAATATGGAGCAGGAAACATATCGCTGCTGTCGGAACAAATGCTCATAACTCCAAAAAAGCTACTTTCACAGGACAAGGAAAAACATTCTTAACTTTTAATGGAAGTAAATGGGTAAGTTATTTTTTCCAAATAATTTTGGACTATTTCTGTCGGTCCATTCGTCATCAAATTTTGAGACATCATAAAGGGCAACTGACCTTTTCAAATTATGTAAAAAAATGAAAAACGTCAAAAATGGAGATACAAGGTTTTGTCTCAATCAAAACTACCACCATCCATTCCTTAGTATAGTATGTATAGTACAGTAGTATTCAGTTTTGGACACTGTATAAGTTTGGGAACCCCTGGAATGACAAACTACACTGGGGTTGCCAATCCTCTCCGCAAAGGGCCAGCGAGGCTGCAGGTTTTTATCCCAACCAAGCAGGATCACACCTATATAATTAACCAGCTGTCCGATGACTGAGGCTAACTGATTAAACAAGTGGAATTCGGTATGTTTCTGCTTGTTTGGAATGAAAAACAGCCTACTGGGGATAAGATTGGTGACCCCTGAACTATACAGTATTCCCAAGAGTTCAGATGCCCTTTCTCATTAGTGACTGCAGCTACTTCAAAATGTACACACTGCTGACAAAGGCATCCAATTGCGCACACAGCTTATATCATCTATGTAGGAAAGCGATGCTCTGCAGAGCAATGTAACTGCATACTTTGGGGTGATGGAGCACCTATGAACAGCTCTGGGATGGGTTGTAGTAGTGTTTGTGATTCAGAACTTAGTAGCCAACATCAGTATCTGACCTCATTAATGCTCTTCTGGCTCATTGCAATCAAATCCTTACAGAAATTGTTCCAAACATTTAGCATATAACCTTTCCACAAGGAGAGTAGATGACGCTGCAGCAAAGGTGGACAAGCTCCCAATTAATATCCTTGATTTGGGAAGAAACTAGACGAGCACTTGAGCAGGTGCCTACGAACTTTTAGACAAATGTTGTAACTTCCTGGGAAACGGAAAGACTTGAAAATCTTTAGAGTCTTCTGATAAAATATCCAAGCAACCAAGTCAATGGCCTTAATAATAAGCGTTTATTTAGTATTCTTCGTCATTTTCAAACAAACAAAAACCCCAAACTATTTACACTCTGATTAATCAGGACATTATTACTTTGTCGCTAACATTTTCAATATGATTTCAAAAAAGTTATATCTGACTCATTTAAAAGTTTAGCTACAGGGCTAAGCTGACAGGTAACAATGAAAAGGCAAATGAACATTGTCTCATCTCCACTAAAGTTATGCTTTAACATGCGAGTGGCATGAAGATAGTAGATTCAATACTGATATATACTTCTCCCTTCGTATATCAAAAAAAATGAAGGACATGAAATGTATTTGGGAAACTCCAGATATTCCTACAGTCACTATCGTTACTCAGTGTACGGTTTGGATAACAGGTTTTGTTCACATTCTTATAAAGCCCACAGTCAACATGGGGACCACACGGTCTGCAAAGACCTGCATCTTTTTTGTCGCAGAACATGTAAGTAATCTGTGGTAGCTAATAGGACCACTCACTCCTGATAATCTGATAATCTCTATTACTATCATTGTTAAACTGCCTGGTTTAAATATTTTGCCACTGTAAAAGGAGACTGTATACCTATGAGCCCCATTATCACATCCACAACCAAATGTCTGAGTTAGAGAGAATTTAAAAAGCAGACAGTCCCACTCGGTCAGCTACAGAAACATAGTAGACTTCTGCTTAAGGGAACTGCCACACTGTAAAAACCTGTATGCATGCTCAAAATCTCGTTATACAACTGAAAATACTTGTACTTACTTCCACAGTAGTGCACAAGTACAAGTAGGCTTAAGGGCCTCTAAAAGTTAATTACACTTCATAATCTATCAATTCCAATACACATTTTAAAAGGACACATATGGTTCTGCAGTGGTGCAATGCCATGTCACATAGTATTAAGTGTCACAATTAGCCAGATTGAGTGTAACCTGATGCAGCAAGTTAAATTTAGCGCTCAAATGGGGTTTGTTTTCCAGATACACATCATCACCCAAAGCTTTTGATAGAGAATTCATGAAAAAGCCTTTAAGTTCAGTGTTGAAGTAAAAGAATATTGAACTAAGCATGGTCAACACATTTTTCAATCTTTAAGTACAGGCTTGTCTGTACAGTTAAGGCATGTCAAAAGAAAGAAAAAAAAAAAATCACCACACCCAACAGAAAAAAAAGAAAAAGCAGAAGTCATGTATACACAGTTTACAGGGCAGCCACTTGCCATGGGTACGGAGTCTCTGTATATATTTGTAGTTGTTTGTGTTTGAATAAGGTTCAGTCAAGACAGCAGTTGATGCAAGTTGCTTTGTGTGTGATAGTATTTGATGATCATGCTGCATGTATGCTGAACATGCCTGGCCATGTATGCAGCAGGGCCCGGCCGTACAGGTGGTTTACTAGTCTGTACAGGTTTTAACTACCATAGTTCCACAGTTCCAGTATCCAGAGTCTTCTGTCTTCTTGAAGTCACCTCCAGAAGAGCCCATCTTCCTGTTTTCATTCAGTAGCTGTTCCTGGAAAGTAGTGCCATGGTAGAAGAGCGAGTAACCCTCCTCATCTATGGACATGTAACATCAGTGGTCTTCCTTTTAAATCTTCGCAAGTGAATGTGTTAGAGAGAGAGAGAGAGAGAGAGAGAGAGAGAGAGAGAGAGAGAGAGAGAGAGAGAGAGAGAAAAACGAGAATACAGCTGGTCAACATCCTCTTTAGAAGCTCTGGAATACTGGTCTAGAAAAAACAAAAAACAAAAAAACAGTGCAACATGAGAAAATACTACATGACCAGGAATAAAGAAAGGAAACAAAACAACTTGTACGTTCTTAAAGGAATGCTCTAGAGAATAATGTTTCCTTCTACTTGGCAAAGAACAGAAAAGCTGCTGACCTAAAACACAATTACAATAGAAAACAGTGGGCAGTTGCTGAATTCAATCAATAAACAATTATGAAAATTCTACAGTCAAAAGGTATTTGTAAATGAAGCCCTTATTGCAATATGTATGTAATAACCGTGTTTTGTCCCAGTGTTTGAAACCTGGATAACTTAATCAGTAAGACCTTTTTTGATGCTTGTCTTATTCTAAGTGCTGTATTGTATTATACAATGCCCAATAGTGATGGCCGTTCTCAAAAAAGTGATATGAGATTCAATAGCTTTTGCGACACCTGATTTAAAAGTGTTTTGAGGTGTGTATTCCCAGTTTTGTGGTTCAACAGGTCCAATGTTCAACATCTACCGGATCAGTAGTCATAATTTAGATAAATTATGATTCAAGTAACCCTGAGTTTTGAGTAGAACACCTGGCATGTTACTGTCCCACCAACATCTAAGTGTGAGTAAAAATTGTTACGTTTAATACAAAAACGCTGATTGTTTTCCTCAATAACATCTAAACCTCCCACTTCTATTCAGTTGCTTAAACATTCTGCAACACCCAGTTCAGTACACAATACTCTATACAGTACATACATGATTAAAAAAAACACACTTGATAACAATAATGAAATAATGAAAATATTTGCTAATAAGGTTTTCGCAATGCAGCAATTTGACCAGCAAGTGGCACCAGCATGCAAGTACCTTTCTTTTTTTCTTTTTCTTTTTTTAAATGATGGGTCCAGTTTTAAGCTTCAGAAAGTCTTGTCCCATCACTAACCACTGCCCACTGGCTTCCATGTTAAGCAAATTTCAAGTAAAAGGAAATTCTAATTCTTTTCCAAGTACAGGAAGAAGTGTTGACATTTTGTGCGACAGATCTGGTCAGGGGTTTCCAATCCCATGCTCTACAGACCTGGCTTAGTTCAAGAGGAGCTTGATTAGTTAGTTAATTAGTTAATGAGTAGCATCAGGTGCCAGATGAGACAAATCATAAAAACATACATAATGTGAGGTTGCCAGAACTGGGATTAGAAACCTTGGGGTTATGAGTATCCCTATAAAGTTCTCAGATGATGTGTGGCATAAATGAGTAAACTAATACATGCAATCATTACCAAATGGACAGTTCTGTCGATGCAGTCACAGGCGACTCCGTGCTGAAATTAATCCACAGCTGTGCAGCAGGCAGTCATTATAACTAGTTTCATCATCTCAACCATTCATCCTCTAGTCCTCTTCCAAGGCCATATCTTGACCATTTAAGGGAACAATCCCCAGAATTTCACTTTCAACTCCAGCCTCCGATGAAATCTTTTTTTGTGTTTGTGTTCTAGCACCCAGAATCAAGCAGTTCATCAACTTTCAGACAGCTCTGTGTCTAAGTGAGAAATCTCTGAATGGCTGGAGTTTAATTGTGTAGTTCACAATTCCAAACAAGGAGCTGAGCTGTTATTCCTCAACATTCAGAGTATCTGATGTCTCCTTAGCCTCCTTCATTGGTGTGTAATCAAGCTTAAGTTCAGTCCCAAGAATGGCTGAGAGTTAGTGGAGAAAAAAAAAACAAACAAAAAAACAAAACAGCATTATCTATGTACATGTACACAGGAGTGAAAAAGAGATGTACTACTGTTCTTGCTGTCTTGCTAGTTTATATTCTTGATGAAGGGGCTTCAGTTGAATTTGAAGCGTCTAAACAGCGCCCCCTTTCTTCCTCTTTACGTCCACACAGGGTCCTCACAGTTTTGAGTATGTGAAAAGTGCATAGTGAGAGCATCAAGGCAATGTTAGTTCTTTTGTTTTCTTTGTAAAGTCAACTGCCATGATGCTCCCTTCGCCCATGTGGAAACAGAAGGCCATTTACGGTCCACAGACTGTGATGGCAGAGCTGAGGTCTCATATATATATATATATGTATATATATATATATATATATATACACATACATACATACATACACACACATCCCTCATTTGTTCCGGTCATATCCGTAATGCTCCAGCACGCCACAGACACGTCCATCTTTCTGTTGTTGTTTTTTGTTTTAAGAAAAAAAATCTAGAGGCCAATTCTAGATACGCTGGGGAAGAAAATTGTTAAAGCGATGCCTTAAACAGTTGTCTTCGTGCATTTCAAAGTACCGAAAAAATGGTCTGTGCTGTTTTGATTTTGCTTTCTCTTCCAGAAACACGAACCATTTCTTTTCTCTGGATGAACACAAAGCATTTTAAATCCACCGTAAAGGAAAATTAGGCCAAAAAAAGTAAACAAAAACAAATTCAGTAAACAAAATACGGTCAGCTTTGTGATAACTCCTCGTCCAGACATCGTCTTGCCAAAGTTGCAACAAGGATGGAGACACAATCATTCTGTATGCCACACCCATTTCACTACAAGAGGGAGGAGCTCGTCACCATGTGATTACTACAGCCCCACTCCTCCAAATGGTTCTGAATTGAGTGACATTCCTCCACCCCCTCCTGAACCACCCCCACCCCCACCCCCCCCAAAAAAAGAAAAATGCACCCACAAATGTCAAAAGTGTTTTTTGTAAACAACCAAAACTCCAGTATGGAATAGATTTTTTTCTTTTTCATTTTCATAGTCATAATGTCTGTATGAACAGGATTGTAGAGGCAGTGTGTTCTAGCGGTAGTCATCTTGACTTTGTCCATCTGCTTGCTGAACAGGCTTTTGAAGAAAAAGACGTTTTCCTCTCCGTTCCAATGTCCAACTACACTTCCATTTTTGCATTGAATAAAAAAAAAAAATCTTTTTTTTTTTTCACTTTTTTTGGAATACATTCAATGTTTTCTTAAGAAAGAAATAACACACTTCACATGGTGGCAATGAAACTAAAACCTAAAGGAAAATCATTTCAAAAAATAAACGAAAAAGTAGCAGCCCCAAGTGCTCTTTTGTAGTCCAAATACTTTTTAACTTTGTGTGTATGTGTATTATATCATAGATTCATATTTGCAATAACAAAAAGTTATCATCAACAACGACAACAACAACAACAACAAACAAGTAACATTATATGAACATTTTGTGCACGGCTGTGTGCACTTGCACAGTTTGATGGGATCTTTTTTTTTTAAGCCAGTCAGTCACTCACTCAGGAGTAAGAGAGTGGACAACAAGGCAATGTGAGCCACATCCCCGAAAAAAACTGGACAATCCTCTCAAATGGACCATCCCCAGGCTACACTAGAATAACTAGAGAGAATGAAGTGCGCAATGCACAAAGCTCTTTGTTTATAAGCACAGGAAGTGTGTCGAAGCATCTTCATCGAAACGCATGCACACTTCCAAAAAAATAATGTCTCAATGGCAGCAATGAACTCCAACCATTCGCCCTTTTAGGTTCTTAGGCACATGTGTGGACAGAAACATATTCACACGCACGCAAAACACCCGAATGCAGACATACACAAATAACCCTCAGTACTTGGCCCATCAGCCTACTAGAGGCACAGATATAGGTGGTGATGAGGGGAAATAAGAGAAAAAACTTGCATGCAGAGCGCTGGTAAGTGTAAAAGAAGCTAAAGCTTTTCAGGTTGCATCTAGAGCTTTCATGTCTATCTGGGGATGAGGAAGTGACAAAAGAAAGGATGTGTTGTGCCATTGCCCACTGTCCCCCTCAGTCAAATACACAAATATGCGGCAGAGCTACAAAACACGCTCACACACACACTTTCACCACACATTCTGCTCATGAAATAAACTTCTAATTCGCTTGAAAAATCACAAAATGGCCTCTTGTGTTGTTTCATACGTCTTGGTATCTTGGTAAGCAAAGCTCTCCCCCCACTCCCACCCAAAAATAAAAAAAAAAGGAAAAAAAATTGTGCAGACTGGTATGCTTTGTACAAACACTCACGTTCTGGTTTTAATACACGCGCTCACTCACTCAGACAAAAATATTAATCTCTATTACATATATCTAACGCATTTTTTTGTTGTTTTTCTCTTTTTTTATACAAGTGCAAATCTTCAAGTTTTATGATCGAAAAATCTTATTTTATATAGCTTTACTTTTTTATAGAAACTTTTTTAATAATAAAAAAAAACTAAGGAAAAAAAACAAAAAAAACAAAAACAGTGTTTGTCTTTGAAGAGATATTTGTTTTCTTTTTTTTTTCCTCTGATACGGTTTGAATAAACAGGACGGTCCCCCATGATCTCTAACCACCGCTGCCTCCGTGTCCAGTTCTAATTCTACACACATATTTATGTGGGAATTTTTCAGAATCCACACCACATATCTATACATGTAAAACCTTCTTTAAAAGGAGAAAAAAAAACAAAACAAAACAACCAAACCCTATCCACATCCTGCCTTCATAAAGTGCATTAGTTTGAGTAAGGTGCTTATTATTTTAAGTGCCAGAAGTTTAACGTCCCCCAAAAAACACAATAATTACCCTTTTCCCAACCATACCACCTCACGTTTGGGGGCTTTGTCGGGGGAAGCCTGAAGCTGTGTAATAAGGGGTGCAGGAGCACCACTGCTCACCATCTACCCCCATTAAAACAGAACTACATTCTCACTTCATTCTCCCCTCCACCCCCAAACATATACTTCTCTCCAATTATCCTGGCTCTAACCCCAATCCCCAGCAGTGCACATTGGACTTGCGGAGTCTGATTAGTTGGACCCGCGAATAAAAGGCCTCAGGTAGCTATTGCTGTGGACTCAGTAATCCTCCACCATCTCCATCTCACTCAGGCTCATCCGATCCCCTGCACCATGGAATGAGTACCCTACAGACACAAAAACAGAGAGAATACAGGTGGTACCAGGCATTAATTATTTTTCCACCATCTGAAAGTGCCAGCTGCTCTTCACTGTGTATAAAGATTAATCTCATTACTTTGTGTAGTGAATTGCGATTAATCACATTTGTTTTGTACTTGAATGCAACCGTAAAGGAAAACCTTTGTCAATTTAAGATGTATATTTCTTAAGAGATATATGAGATTACAAAATAACCTTCGTAAGGATATATTTTTTTACTTTCAAAAATTCAATAACAAACCAAGCGGGGTTTGAACTGTGTTCCTAAGATTTTGTTAGTTTACTGTGCCATAGGTCTACTGCGAGCTCTATCTAGCATGGTCTGCCAAAAGGTGTCCTCCGGAGGTAATGTTAGCAATATCGCTGATATTGCTGACCTCAGTGCTGCATTTTGCTTGTAAACAATACTTCAGGTGCAAGGTACTTTGGTCATAAACAAATTCACCCTAGCAATAGCTAGAAATAACTTCGGTTTTATCAAGTGACACATTATTAGAACCATTTAAAAGTTGTATTTGAACAAGAGATCGACAGCAGTGGAATAATCAGAATAAGAAGCTGGCAAACAGGAAGCTAACTTTGTGAAACTATAGATGATCTGGAGTCAAAATAGGAAAATGAGTAAATGGGGCTTTAATAATTCTTCGTTTTTATAATGCATTGAATTTGAATGTCACAAATACTGATGCCCAAGCTAGTATTTTTCTCCTCCTCTCTCCTAAAGTTATGACTCCAGAGAAAAGCCAGAAAACCAAAACAAAGAGAGACAGGTTGAGGAAGATAAGAACAGAAAAGAAATTGTTCACAGCAGAAGGAGGTGACAGAAAAGGTGGAGTGAGACAGCGAGTCACATAGTGTACCTAAGATGCTTGGGTCAGAGTGCAGCATCATGGGCTGTTTCTTCTTAAGTTTACCCGCCTGGTCATAGCCCATTCCCCCCTTCCCAGAATGCACTGACTGGAACATGGACTGCAGAGTTGTGGGATTCATTCCCCTCATAGAATCCTAAAGAGAATATGAAAGATGATGGCACGCTTGATTAGAGTCATATAATTGTACTGGGCACTCACAGCAGGCACTCTTATACCATATTTTATACAGTATTACTATGATGCTACCAAGTAAAATAGCACAGCTGTCCTATTTTGAATTTCTGCAACTTGTAAGTAAAAATGTGTAGCAGCTGTCTAATTTTACCTGCAGAGGGAAGCTGTTCATGGTCAGCCCAGCCACCTCTTTAGAAAGCTGGCAAACAGGAGCAAAAGAGAAAAAAGCAGTCAGAACAGTAAACTGACACATATTTAAAAGTTTACATGTGTTTGTTCATTGCAAACAACATCTCTAAAACAAAACAAATACAAAATTTTTCTTGTTCTTCCAAAATTCTCAGACACAAACCTGCTGTTGCTGCCTCTGATGGTTGGCTTTCTGTTTGGCACGGCGCTCCAGGAACTGCTTGGCGAACTCTTTGGCTTCCACGGTGTCGCCCAGGTAGTGGCGGATAAAGTCCAGCACCTCATACGGCGACTCCACCTCCTTCAAGTACGCCACGATGGTGGCCACTGTCCAGAACCAAGAACACAGTAAAAATATAATGAAAATTAACAACAACCCCACAAAGCGGGAAAGTGTGATGGACTCTAATGTGCTGTAAAACTGAAAGTGACTCAGCTGTAAAATGCACCCTGATCTGTCTTCATTAGCCAGTTTCTACTGCTAACCATCAGGACCAGGCTCTGTGGAAAATGTGTCTCAACGAACTAAAACAAAGTAATGACAAACTAATAATGTCTTTACCGTCCTGGGAGGAGGAAGAGTTGTTGGCTGAGGTGTTAAGCGCATGCAGCATCTGCTCACACCACGTGGTGAAGCCATCCTGAGCCTTCATCCCCTGCAAGAGCTTTAGCAAGCGCTCCTCTTCCTCAGTCCGTTTACGGCGATTTAACATCATGTACTGATCACTACCAAAGACAGGGAAAGGGAGAGAAAGAAAACTGAACATGGCAGACACCTCCCAGGATTGAAAATGCTAACACAGAGTCTAGAAAGCTCAGTAAGCTTGGGTGAATTGCCAACGTACCTGAGCGACGGGCTGCTGCGGCTGTTCTTCAGACCCATGCTGTTGCGAAGGGCGCTCTGGTTCTTTAGGGCCTCATCCCAGATGCCCATGCTCCCTCCTGAGGGACTACTGCCACCTGCCGCCTTGCCCTCCATGCCTCCAGACCCCCAGAGTGCCCCCACACCTTCAGCACCCCACTAAACAGAGGGAGAGAAGACATAGCATCAAAACGTGCATGTAAAAAATCTCTAGATACAAAATATTTTACATATATCATTGCTGTCATATCAAAACTTCAAAGCAATTTCTTTACCTTTTTTTTCCCCCCGAAAACATCAGTTGCTCTGTGTGACCATTTCATGATGAACGTACCAATACAAATAGCCCAAAATTACTTAGAGTAAAGAGTCCTTTATATTAATTTGGAGACTTGTTACACGTCTTGTTACAAGTCTTGTTACAACAGCAACAATGTATTTTTATCATTATATCAGCAATCCTCAAGTTTTTTGTAGCTTTAAATACAGCAACACTCAGAAGTGCGAATGATTAAATGCCCCCCCTTTTTTTTTTTTTTACCCTCTGCTGTTGCTGGGCTCTGTGCTGCTGTTTGTAGAGCCTTTCAGCCTCCTGTTGAAACTCCAGCAGGTTGAGGGGCTTTCCCTGCTTCCCCAGCCCGGACATGGGGTTGCCACTCCAGCCCGACCCTGAGCCAGCACCCCCCTGACGTGGAGCCTGCTGGAGCAGCTTCATCAGCAGCTCCTGTCACAGGAAGAAAACACAGACTATAAAGACCAAACTCAAAAGCATGCATGGAAAGCAACAGCTCATGGATGGGTGAAATCTTTCATCAATGATACAAAATTCTAAACAACAAAACACATTTTTGCGCAAATACAACACTTGTCTTGCACTACTAACACAAACACACCTGTTTGCGTCTGAAGAGTTCCTCTTCCTCTCTCCTCTTTTGTTCCTCCTGCTGCCTCCTCTTTTCATCCCTTCTTTTTCTCTCTTCTTCCTCCCTCTTAGCCCTGAGTTCAGCCTCTCTTCTCTCCTGGAGCTGAACCACATACCAGCATACATACACGCACACAAAAATACACACAGGGTGTTAAACAAGTCATACACTTAAAGTTCAAATGCAAGATAACACCCTGGTCACCAATTCATTCATGTGGTGCATTTCAGTCACAAGAAAACAGGGAATGCTGCACTCACCTTCTGAAGCTGTTCGAGAGTTGGACCCTGAGTTAAGTCCCATATACTGGCCTCACCACCTGAGAGAGGAGGAGAATTAGACAGTGAGAGAGAGAATAAAATGTGCAAATGAACATTTTGCTATGACTAGTAACGAGGCACATGTGTAAATAAGTTACCACTAAACTATTTTTTGTTTATGTAGTTTTCGCAAATTTGACCTTAAAGAAAGATTAGCTCCATTTAAAAAGCAGTTTGTTGTGTTATGAGTTGTCAAAAAAAAGCTTCATTAAATTGTATTTATTGCTTTCAATAATTCAATAACTTTATGCACATGAACTTGATCTCAGTAGGGTGAATGCAGTTTCCGATTTTCATCACCAACATTCAGTGAGAGAAACAGTGGCTCCATGTTCCTATGAGTGTATACATTATATACACAGCCAACTGTTCCAACTCCTCTATGATTGTAGTTCCCTGGCTCTCGGCCATGCACCTCACAGATTGTTGTTACAGCAGAGTGGATTCTTGTGGAGTTTTCTACTTCGCTATTGCTTTTGTTAGTTTGCTGCTTGTTGATATATCGAGACATCTGTTGTCAGCTCTGTCCAGTGTAGTCTACCAAAGGGACTGTTTAAAAGCCATTTAAAAGCTGTACTTGAAGGAGAGGTATACAATCACAAATTCTATCATAGCAACATAACTTGCATTATTAACTTTTACTGCCCTTTTAAGTACCTGTATTAACTTACTGGTATAAGAGGATGTATGCTCATTTACCTGTTGGCTGTGAGGCTGAGGTATGCATGTCCCACATGGACCCTGTATCTGGCACTGACATCGACCTGTTCATCGAAGGCATCATACCCTGCTCTCCGCACCTATCCTCACACACACACACACACACACAGATAAGCAGAGCAATAAAGCAAATATGCAACAAGTTGTTACACATTGCACAACTGGAAAGGCCACACATGCCAACACAGCAACTCTGCAGATAGCTCAGAGACCAACCTACTTATATCAACATCAACAGACACACATAGATAAGGGCTAGAGAGATATGTAGAACATTTAAAAATGCTGATTAAAACAGGCACACCTAAACTGAAACATATGTACCCATCCACCCACCTGTTAATGAGCTGGAATAGCTGCTGTTGCTGTAGTTGCTGGTAGAGAGCTGCAGCGGCAGCTAACTCCTGCTGCTTCTTCAGCCTCTCCTGATCCAGATTACACTGAGAGCAAGTAAACACTCATATTACTTCATAAAGTCCAACAATTCACCTGGATCACATCCAGCCAGAACATGAACAGGACTTCACAACAAGCTAGAACAATTTAAGTATAGTTAAACCTGTGATGACCTTTAAGGTAGCATTATTTAAGGAATGGTTTGGCAAAGAATGAAACACAATTTTTCACTTGTAGCTGATCAGTCAAAACATGATTGGTGTCCAATTTTTTCTTCTTTAGTTTAGTACTGTTGTGAAGTATAGCACTGTGCCGAATTCCGCCATCCCTTCAGATGTAGGCATATGGACGCTACATAACATCAGCAATTTCGGTATCTATTTTTAAACGTTTTTGGTTAAAAAAAAAAAATTCACTATTAACATTAGTTTATAAAAAGGAAAACAGAAATCGTGAACATAATTTGTCCATTGTCCTGCATGGCATGCATGTGCGCAAAGGAGTGAACTGGGCACAACACCTGTATTTACGAGATTTGACATCTAGTGTTTGTTAGCAACATTAATGTCGTATCTCAACACTGTGGAGCAAAACTGTACATCGAACATGTCTTAGCTGATCGACTACATCTAGACTAAGTGGAAAGCTGTGTAAATCAGATTTTTCACCAAATCACTGCTTTAATCTGAATCCTGAGAATGACTGACTGACTTTTGGCGTGGTTGAAAAAGATGCTTTCGGATTTGTGTGTGCATGATACTCACCAGTGGTGGCGGGGAGGGTCCGGGGGCAAAAGGCACACGCCCCCACATCTTAATGACATCCCCGAGAGGCTGGAAACCTTCATCACAGCCACGCTTCACCAACAGAGACATGCTGAAGTAGCCTGCCTGGAACCACTCACACATCTCCACTGTAGTGAAGGGGCCTGCAGGAAATGAGAGACAAAATGAAAACATGTAACATATAATGTAACCGTGTAACCTTTTCCTCTTTCCCACCCATCCCACCACACTCCCCCCACCCCTCGACACTGAGGGTGAGTCGTTTAGGGGAAATTTCAAAAGGTACAATGTCACAAACTAGTGTCATAACCGTTTAACATTTTAAGGGCGCATGCAGCAGTCTTTTTATGCTTAAAGCGAAAATAGGCAAAAGTAGAAAAATTCAGGCTTCAACATGGCTGCTATAACTCTTTGTACAAATTTGTATTGTATAATACAGCATATAGTGGCAGAAAACACAATGGTAGGTGTCTGGAGATTACCCAGCAATATTATGTGGTTTGAAACGTGTATAATGACTGAATCATGTAGTTTGCAGTGTGCTAACTATGGATGCATCGATACAATTTTTTTAGACAGAGTACATTTTTTTTTTTAATACTCGCCGACATCGATTCCAATACCATGCTCAGTAACCTGCTTAGAATCAAGTAGTTGTTAGTGTAAATGAGTAAAATGTACCTTAACAGTTAAATCATTCAAATCTAGCTGATTGTGAATGACATGCCCTAGCTAGCTATGCTATATTATGTGACGCTACCTTAGATTGAGTAGCACCGCAATGGAGAAGAGCGGGTTTGTTCCATATTAGAAAAGTGCTTCTGTAGAGCTGTAGCTTTACTCCTCACCTGTGTCTTTAAACAACAGTCTCTCTGCAGCCCAGTGACAGCAGGAATCACACCTGAGGCTAAGGCATCCAAGGAGCTCACTTGTTGAGTTCTATGTCTCCTCAGCATAATTTGATTGGCTGGTTGAGCTGTAGCTGAACACCCTCTAAAGCCAGACAAACACTGTGTGGTTTCAGAAATCTTGTTCTTTGGTGACTCACACTGTACTTTTGAACAGACCATCATGTACGGACAAAGTGTACAATTCATATATTTACATTAAAACGCTCAGTCCATGCTGTCTGAAATGCCGAGTCCCAAACCGAAATGCTGAGAAACTGAGCAGCGCTACTAACACTGTGCTCTGAAGCCAACGGTGGTGGTGTACACATTAGTAAAAAAAAATAACCATATTAATGCTTATGCCTCGCAATTCTACTCACTCAAACACAGTAAAGTCAGCATAGACAGACTTTGGTAGTAAATGTCGACATTTTTCCAATCACTGTACTTCTGGCCTTTCTGTTTCCACCCGGTCGTGATTGTGTGTTTAAAAAGGGATAAAATCACACAGTGTGGGTCTGGTGGGAATCTGCCATGGCAGAATGTTTGAAGTGACTGATGGCTTTGTGTCCAACTGTGACCAAGTCAGTAACACGTCGCTGTGTGAACAGAGCCAACTTCACTGCATTTGTACACTAGAGTAGCAGTGTACAATCAGCTTAGGTCACATCTGCAAGTATCAGAATGTTGATATCGGTGAGTATGAGTATGAATAAATGAGCACAGTACTGGCCTGAAACCCGATAGAAGTATCTGTATCAGCACCCCTAATGTTAACTGGTGGCAGCCCACCAGTAAGCTACAGTGCAAAACGTCAGAAGCAAATTTATGATATCAAATACCAAGCCTTGGCTGACTGACTACATGTTGGATGAAACATAAAATTGCAAAGTTGATTTTTTGCTAAACTGTTCCATTAAGGGAGCATGAAGTGGTGTCACATGCACTCAAAATCAAACATGCATTCACAAACACATATTTGTGAATATCTCTCTCCTTGTAGATGTAAATGTGTCACTTGCTTCATCTGTGTGTTTATGTGTGCCACGGATCTCTCCCTGCAGGTTTTAGTAGAACCACTTCATGCTTCATGGTGCACGTACACATATATCTGTTTGCTTACCCTGGATTTCTCCCTGCGGGTCTTTGTAGAACCACTTCATGGCGGAGTCGTGGGAGAGAGGCAGGGCAGCAGCAGTGTTTCTATTCTCCTGCAGCGTCTGGGTGAAACATTCCTCCTCCAGAGATGTGTCCTGAAGCGCTGCCACCATCTTCTCTGCCTCCTGTGTACATGTGACATTTTAATCCATCAAACAGAAATACACATCAACAGGCAGCGCAGCAGACTACACTATAGCACAGAGGTCTATCTTCAGACATGGACCTTTAATCCAGTTTCCAGTCATGGATTTTTCAGACATTGGCATGACACTAGGTGGCCAATCAGTTACAGCAGGGGTGCCCAATCCTGGTTCTGGAGATCTACCAGCCTGCAGAATTTAGCTCCAACCCTAATCTAACACACCTGATCCAGGTAATGAAGGCCTTGAGGGGCATCTGACTATGTAAGCCAGGTCTGTTAAATCTGAACTCTCCAGGTTGGAAGATCTCCAGGACCAGGACTGAGCACCCGTGAGTTATAGTAACAGGTCAGTTAACCATCAGTGATTACAAAATACATGACCAGAAATAAAATTCAAGGTCCATTTTTGAAGACCTCTGCCATAGGATTTCATCTCTGTCCTATCAAAACAGTGTGTCTCCATAGTGGTAACTTTACTGGCAAACAAAAATGTTTTAATGTTAATGTAATAAAATTTTATCACAGGCAATATCTATTGGTCAACTCATCATACATTTTTTGCAACGTAAAAGGCAGCTGGTGCGCTCAAATGACGTAGAAAAATAAAAATTGGAAAAAAAGGAGATGGTTTTGATGACAACAATGACATGCTGAAGTATCAGGGTTAAACAATTCTCTAACCAAACTTCACTTCATAGGTCGTTGGAGCTTTTTTCGCTACCTGCTGCAGGTGCTTCATGCCCTCATCATCCTCAGGGTCACCCCCCGGTGGCGGGAGGTCAGTAGCAGCAGAGGAAGAGGAGGGAGGGGATGAAGGCAGACTGGAGGAGGCACTGGGGCTCAGCTCAGACAGGGGCTCTGATAACACTATACAAAAAAATAAAATAAAAAAAAATGTACAAATAAAATTAATACAACTCGGCTCTCAAGAGCAGGAGGTCAAAAGGTACACAAGGGGAACTAAGAAAAAAAAAAAAAGGCTGTTTACCTTCACTTGGCATCTTACTGGGCATGGTGGGGGCAGGCTGAGGATCCTCCAGGCCAGCGGGGACAGCAGCAGGCACAGGCTCGGACTGAGCAGGGGAGAGAGAAACAGAGGGAGGAGAGGAGGGAGGAAGAGACTTCACCTCAATCTCAGTCCCAGCTGCAGAGTCAGTCTCACCTAATCAGAGAAAAAGAGAGCAAAGAGAGCAAAAATGGACATAAAAAACTGCAATGACAAATAATGCATCACAGCCATTGATAGCAATTTAAATGTGTGTTTAGGGAGAGAAATATGGTACTTGAGAGATGAAACCAGGAATGCAACAACAGTTTTTGATACCAATGGGTGATCCTTAAATGTCTTCTGGAACCGAGTACCGAAACAGACTACCGATACCGATGCTAACTCTTTCACCTAACTAGCCTTACACAATTAAAAAAAAAAAAATTAACCTCAGGTATTCTCTAAAGGATGTGTAGGTATGTGTGTGTACATACATACACACATACATTTATGGGGTGTACTTACTTCTCATGACTGTATAAATAAACCATTTAAAATCTTTATTTACTATTTTATAATTAGTAATAAAAAGTCTTTAGCAATAAGAATAATATTTAACAATGAAAGTAAATTTAAAATACTTACCATGCAATATAGTTAAAAATAGAACCAAATACTACAAACTTTTGGTATGGAAACAATCATACAGCAGCTTCTCTGGTTTGGCAAAAATGGTGCCAAATGTAATGGTTTAATGACCAAATTTAACCTGCCATAAAACACACTAACATTAACATTATGCTCAGTAAAACAGACTTTTCCTCCTCACCTCTCTCAGGTTTCTCTCCACCACTGCTGTTTTTCCTCTCTCCATCCGTACTACATTCTTCCTCATCTTCCAACCCCTGAAACTCAAACTCCTCCTCAGGGATAGGGTCCTTGGAACCTTTCTGTAAGTTTACATGTAATTATGTGAGCCATAGAGAGAGACAGAGCAAGATTTCTTTTTGGCATGTAACATCCAACACACACACACACACACACACACACACACACACACACACACACACACACACACACACCTTGATTGACATGAAAGCTCCGGAAGAGTCGAAGGTGCCCATCTCTCCATCCTCTTCATCAGTGCACCACTCTGGCAACCCATCTCTCTCTTCCTCTGCACCTTCACTTCCTGCCCTTCTCCTGCCTCCCTCAACACCTCCATCCCGGAAGTCGAAGTCAAACTTTCTGCGGCGAACCTCACCATGCTCGCGCCAACCTGCTGAGCGAGGACCACCATCTTAAAAAAGAAATGTGAGGAGAAGGACACAGAAGGAGAATGAAAAACAGATGACAGTAAATTAACAATGACATGAAATTTCACAGCTTTTTCTAGCTCTTAAAATAGCATCACTTCATCTTACTGTGCTTATTAATGAGCAATATGTACTCATCACAGGAGGCAATTGATATTAATGTGAAAGTGGGTGGAAGACAGATGTTGCTCCCTGCACTTGTGTGTATTTTTATCTATGAATGTACAACACAGAGCCAGCAATAATGCATTCCTGAACTGCTTTTCAGAAAAATGAGTTGTAAAAAAATGTAAATTTACACAATTCACCCCAGATGTATTCGGTCAGCCACTGGTTTGCACTGGATCTACAATGCTAATGTAGATAAGCTATGGGAGGTTACATCATACTAAAGGCATGCTGCTTGCTTATGTGGTCGAAATTACTTAAGAACTTTGAAGCTTGTGTTTTGATTCAGGCATGCAGTTTTGCTAATTCATAGTTAGAAGCTCAAATTACTTGTTAGCAACAGTAGCCTTCTACCCCCTGTGCAAAACTAATGTCTGGTCGCAAAAGGTCTTCCAATATTAGGGTTATCTTAAACGATGATCTTCCCAGATTCAGTACTTTACTCCTCCGATCTAACTGCAGTCTAGTCTCACCCCGATCATGAATCGTAAATATTAAACACGTTCAAGTGTGTGATAGGTATGTGCGTTTGGTTTTGCATACCATCACGACGTGAGCCGGCCAGTCTCCAGCTGCCCCCTGTGTCTCCCGCCTCCTCCTGCTCGTGCTCCTCTCGAAGTGTGCGCCAGTTGTCACTGTCTGAGCGCATGTACTCCTTCCTTCCCCCAGAGCCCACCTCTTCAAAGCCCACCCGTAGGCCTTCCCTACGCAAGGGCTTCTCAAAACGTCTCTCACCTCTGCAGAGACACAGATAGCAATTTTATCAGCAAAATACATGCAACTGTCATGCCCTTAGCAAAAAGAACGAAGCGGTGTCCGAAGCCTATCGTATGGAAACATCTATGCAAGTGTACACATGAGGGATAAACTGTGGCAACTGCCTAGCACCCCTCACCACAATATTGAAATGTAACCACTGCAACAGGTAATGTGATGGTGTGGTGACCGTGGTGGCCACCCCACTGAGCTGGTCTGTCTCATGTAACAGTTGCTGTTTCTTTGGCTGAGGTTTGCTAATATTGCTCTATAAAATAAGGTGTTATATAAAACTGAATGTTAAATAAGCTACTCAGCTTTTTCCATTTGATTGCCATTCAACAGCCAATACTATGACCAAACAAATGTACGTTTTCAGCTATTTCTCTTTGTTTAATGGTTGTCTGCAACTTTAGCATCTTTTACCTACCTTTCTTCAGTCTTTCCAAGAAAAAGATGAAACCGTGAAATAATAGCAGGGAGTGAGGCTGAGTTCAGCCTTTAGGTACTGTTACCTGAGCACGTTTTGGTCAAAAAATTTCACTGACTTAGTGGTTTGAGTGGTCAGTGCAAATTTTCAGATCTGCCTACCCCTGGGACACATACTGACAAATTTTGAAGAATGTGTGTACGCATAATCACATATATTTAAATTTGTGTGCATGAGTTTGTACATGTGTATGTATGTTAATGCTGGGATTTTTTTTAATGATTTTTTTCCATCATGCAACTAGAGCCTTGTGAATGTGAATCAGAGATATACAGAGAGAGAGAGAGAGACACACAAAACCTCAACACTCGAATGTGGTTTGTCACTTTCAAACCTTCTAAACAGATCAGCTAAAGGCAGAAACTGAAATGAGTTCATTTACAAAGAAAATAGCACGTCTCTCAGTCTCTGGTGTGTTCTGTGTTAGCTGTACACAGAAAAGGTGATTTTTTATACCTGTCATCCCAGCTCTGGCTACGGTGGATCTCTCTAACGCTCCTGCTGAAACCCACTTCGCCGTCTTCAGTACTTCTTTGGTAGAATCCACCTTCTCCTCTGCCTCTGCCTACAAATACATATAGAAGTATCAGATGTCTGAGTCAGTTCAGCAAGTGTCTTCATATCTTATATGTATCTTAGGCTGTGTTCTACAGAAATTGTAATAAATTCCTGCGTATGTCTGAGAGTTTCTTACTGAAAAAAATTGGCCTAATATTCACATGTTTAGTGTGTTAATACATGTTTCTGCACTTTACTGTTTAAGATGGACCCTTGAACTGACAGACAAAAGAAACTGATCATTTCACTGCCTGCTCTGTTAATCAGTACTTAATGGTCTCTCTGGTCAGCTCACCTCGGCCACCTCTCACGCTGCCTCTGCCACGGGCCATGCCGGTAGGGGTGGCTCCACCCCCTTTACCCATGAGCCTCAGCACAGCCACACTGTTGACAGACATGGAGAAATTCCGCTGAAGAGAAAGGGAGATAGAAAAACAGGGTTAAAAACCGAGAATAAAAACAGGAATAAAGCCAAGAATACAACCAAATGCAATCCTTGTGCAGCTCTTGAACTCAGTTACAACACAGAATGTAATCCCATTATTTACACCATAAAACCCTGCATGAGTAAATCGAAAGCTTACAGGAAAGGGGTCATCTGTGTATACTGTAACTATTGGGGATTTATGTGTTTGGTAAATAAGTGTGTTTTGGGTCATATCTGACCTAACCTGTAAGGTACTCTACCGCAGCTCAGTGAGAGAGACACCTCTACAGCCTGTGCATGTTTGTGTGTTTTTCTCACCTGCTCCTCCTCGGTTAGAGGCACCAGTGCCAGAGGCTGCTGAGGCTCATCCTGCAGAATAGCAGCAAACTCCTTATCCTGCATGTCTTCTGGGACCTACACACACACACACACACACACACACACACACACACAAAATGAAAAACAAGCAGAGCAGATTAATTCAAAACACCCACTCAACCAGGCAAAAACACTACTAGGATAAAGCAAAGCTGCCTATATTTAAAATCTGGTTCGACACTTGTACATTTAAAACAGCCCTCAGGTCAATTTTTGGCGCATGTTACAACATCAGACGAGACCGTTCAGTTGTCCGCTGCCTGCTCTAGAATGCTTAGAATGCTGAAACATGAGTGTTCAGTCAAACCAACTCATCTGAAAGGGGACGAACATTCTGGAAGTCAGTAAAAATCACAGACAGGCGGAGACCTTTATCTGCAGGAGCTTCATGTGGGTTGGTAAGGAATGAGCCTCAGGGCTTGTACATTTCAAATTTATGACCTCTTGTCAGTGCTTTGCTACTGAACGCTGATATATGTAAATATATAAATACAGTTGATCTCAGAGAGGTTGAGGCAAAGGGATATCTACACAGATACAGTGGTCACCTGTATCTATACATAGTGCTCTTACAGAATCTAGAATCAGATATACCTCTTGAGTTTATAATGATCCCAGTCATCAACACGGGGCTTATATCAGCCCTTTTATACAGAATTTCATATGTTTCAGCAGAGGGCCTTCCTCCATGTGCAGGTGCTGAAACATGTCTGTGGTGCTGTGAGACCATTAAATAATAAATTACTATATTACTTAAATTACTATATGTTAGTGGTGTTTGATTTTTTTTGTTTCAATACTTGTCGTCCAGAAATTCATAATCCTTTATAAATGGTGAGTAATTTCTTCTTTTAATCTTTCAAGCTCATTACCTTGTTGTCTTTGATATAAAGTGCTAACATCTCCTCTCGGCCGTAGCGATACTCGGCCAGCTTGTACTTTGGCATAGCAGGAGAGGGAGGAGGGGAAGTCACACTGCCTCCACTGGAAAGTGCTCGGAGCCTGTGGGGGAGCAGATAAAAAGCAAGAAAGAAATAAAGAAAGAAAGCGCAAAAGTAAAAAGCATGAAGGAAAGCAAGAAGACAAAAAAGCAAGAAAAGAAAGCAAGAAAATAAAGAAAAAGCGAGGAAGAAAAGAAAAAGACATATTCAATATTAGGGCTCACAGTAAGACACATTCAACACCTAGAAGGCTGACTTACAAAGCATTACAGACTTTATGTATACAGACTTAATTCAAAACTTCTACCGTGTGTTCCTTTTCACCCTTTATCTCTCAAGGCTCCTCTACACTACACACACACACACACACACACACACACACACCACATCCAGATGGCTTTGGGCAAAGAGAGCAGCCGTACAAAAAACAGCAACTCTGCAGTGAACATATCAAACCCAGGAGAAATCTTATGCTGGCCATTGACCAACTATGCAAACACAGCAGTCCTTGTCATTAGAGATGGACTCGCACCAGAAAAACGGGCCACACCTCACAGTCTAATCTCTATATAAACATTTACTGAGTGCTGGAGGAGGTGGGGGATTGAAGAGAGAGAAAATTTAGAGTTAACAAACAAGAAAAATAAGGTGATTTAGATAGAGGGAGACTTTCACTGGCTAAAGATTAAGGATAATTCTTCCTGGCTATCAGTGGGCGAGTATATAACTGTGCTAGAGAAAAGAAAAAAAGAATGTCAGTTGAAAAAAGAAAGGAAGAAACAGGAGGACACTAGCACAGAAGAATGAGGGAGGAGACATGTCAAAGAGGAAATGAAAAAGGAAACAGAAGAGATGGTGAGAAAGAAAACGACAAACAGAGAGTAGGACAAAGACAATGAGAAGTGAATACTGAAAATTACACTTACCATTCTGGGCCGAAGTTAAGTGTCTCAGCTGTCATATTCCTCTCTTCGTCTCTGAGCTGAATCTATTAAAAAGAAAGAAGAATTCAAAAAGCAAGGAGATGAGGATGTATCAGCTAGCCAAACTACATCTTTCTGTATTAACTGCACTATTCTAGAAATGCCAATTACATTTAGTGCAAAAAAGCAATGCAAGCACACTGCAGCCTACAATCTTAAAATACAGCAGCCTGACTGATAATGCTTCACAGGCTTTGGAATGATGCCACAGAAGAACCACTTTTGGTTTCCTAACTTTCAGTGAATGGTTCTTTAAAGAACCACATTCGTAAATGAGATGTGTGAGTATATGTGGTAAGAACCTTTATATAGGGTTCCTAGGATCCTTTTATTCCTAAAGCCACATATTCAAGTTAAGAGCCATTTCGGAACCTTTGTTTTTAATAACTTGCTAAAGCCGTAGCACCAGCACAATTACAATTACAGTTAGTTACAATACATGCTAATTCATCTAATGAAGGCAAGCACATGCAGGCAAACATTCTCTTTGAGGTCTTACCCTGTCCAGGGGAGCAGAGCAGGAGAGACTAGGCTGGACCAGGCTTAGGTGAGAAGGCTGAGTGGTGTGCGTGAGTGTGCGTGTGTGAAGGTATGTTGTTTTAAGGTGTTTTAAGATTTCCGAACTTGAGAAAGAGTAGGGAAATAGCTGCCTTGTACTGGGTGTGTGCAGGAGGTAAAAAGGATCAAAGGTCAAATTTGATGTGAAAACTCCTGCTCACAGCCCAAAACATCAAACAAATAAAAACATACGAAAAACAAACAAACAAAAAAAAACTTAGAGCTGGAAAAATGATGGGAAAAAAATAAAATTTAACTAACACTAATAACTGCCTGATAACAGCAAAACTTTGATACTGATGATAAAACCTAAGTACAGCTGGAGAAACTGAATGCTATAAACAAAAGTCAGATCAGCTGGCAATGCAGCCGTCTAAAGCAGGTGACCGCGACTCTCTTCCTCTGTCCTCCTTTCCTCCTCTTCTCTCCCTCTCCCTTCTTTTCTCTGGCTCTGGCTCTGGCTGAAATGCTGTACGACCAGGCCCCAACAGGCAACCCCTCTCACTCTCTGATGGTTCTTCTCCAACCTCTGCATGGAAAAAAGAGAACAGGAAATTAGTGAGGACACAACGCAACAGAATGATCCAATTAACTTCACACAGTTCCTTACAACTTACTACAAACCAATAAATAAAGCCTGGTCTGTAAAAAAATCAAATAAAAATAATACAACAAAAAACAAACACATGAAATAAGAACTCAATCAACTATTTTGTTGTTTATGTATGTGCAAGAGAGGATTCTTAATTTTGCTTGTTTACAAAGCCCAACTACCCACACACTATAATCACTGCTGACTTTATATATTTTCAAGATAATCAATAAATATCATAATATTCTGACGCACAGACAGTGCACAAAATGTGCTACATTTTAAAAACAGTCCTCAAAAACTTGATACAGTGAGTGAGTTTTATTCAACATTTTACATTCTGTACTGCACTAAATCCAGTTAAACAGAACTAATTATGCTCTCTCACTAATGAAACATGCAGTTAGTGAGTGTTATTTTAGTACTTAAGATATTTCTACAATGTTTACAAAAGCATATTGCGCATTACGAAAAAAAATCTATAAATATCAGCATATTCTACTTCTCTATTACCTGTTATTTTTCTTAAACATTAGCTATTTACCTGTATATATCTATTGGAATAATTATGACAAATACAAAGGAACTCATGGCATATTTTTATAGACAGGAAAAGGGATGCAACACAGATTTTTTTTTCACCCTTACCCCAATTTACAGTTACAAGGAAAATAAATAAATTAACGAATTAATTAAATTAACAAGGTCTAAATACACAAACTGTGTATATCTTCTATGTGTCTACTGTTCATCCTTCCTGCAGCCTGATGTGAAACACAAGGATGGCTTTCAATAAAACGTAGCGCACCATTTTCCTATTAATGTGCATTTTATCCTCTAAACATCACAACAACTTTATCAAACAGTAAATTTTTTCAAAGCATAGTAACAGCACAGTGTAAGGCCCTGGCTTCCCCTGTCGGGGGTCAAACGTAAAGTGAGTAGTGTGACCACCAGTTTTTTTTGCACTCCTCTTTTAGTAAATGTATTTTTATTTGTTGCCAAAAACGAAAGGATGTAGCTGAAGCCAGCATTGAGTTAATTAGCACCCACCTTTGTTTTACTGATTAGCCTTGACTGGGAATGTTTTGATTGTAACTTTCTTCAAGAAAAGCTTAAATGTATGCATTTTGACAACAAGACCTACGAATAGCTTTTTAAGTACAGACTGCAGTAATATAACTTAAAAACTTAAACACCACCTGCTGACATTTTACTAAAGGAACTGAAAGCCTTACTTAAGTAATGAGCATCACAAAGCTCTTTCAGACAAAAGGCTGACGGCACAAAGCTTTCTTTCCCCCCCCTTCAGATTCAGCTGTCAATTTAAGTAAACTGGTGCTTTTCAGAGTTATAGCCAGACTCATATACAAAATGGTGGGCCAATCACAAAGTTGTGGAAAAAAAATATCCCAAGGGCTGAGATACTGCATCTGTAAACATCATGGCAACAGAGATATCCAAGCAACACAGCCTGGTGCAGAGTGCTTTTTCTGCTACTGGGGGAGTTTGAGCTATAGGAACAGAATTCTTGCTAAGAATGTGTACATAGAGGACAGGCAGGAAAACATGTTGGGTCTCATCCACTAAACATTTTTGTTTTATGGTGCCATACATTATGCTAACCAGTATTAATGGAGACCAACTGTACATTTTTCTTGTGCCGGAGTGCTGATTCATGTCAGATGATGTCTTAATCATAAAGATCTTACTAACAGGAACAGATCCTAGATCAGCACTTCTCAGTTGAGATGCTTTATGAATATGAGCCCAGATTTCTAAGTCTAACTCTCTGCAGCAGTGCAAGCTAGCCAAGCTAATTCCTGCCAATTACCATTATTCAGCTTAGAAAGTAAACACACTGCTTCCTTCAGAATGATCTTTCACAGCAAGTCGTGATAGAGCTGCTTGATGCTTGAAAAATGTCCATAAATTTTAAAACTCTATTTCAAAATATGTTCCTATTGAAGATTGTCAGTTGACTACTGACTAAAATAGCATTTATTTCTTTATTTAAAAATGAACTTCTTTGCTTTTATAAGTGAATTACTGTAAAAATATTGCTATTTCTGCAAATGGCAGTTTGGGCAATGCAGCTACTAAGACTCCAGATGTGACCATATGTTTTAGTCTGAATGTACACACATCAGCAACTTACTGGGTTCTGAAGAGCAAGGTGAAGGAAACACAGAAGAAGAAGACAAAACACAATGAAAGAAAATTATGCCTGTGAGTGCATTCAGAAATGTATAAAGATGGTTCTAAGAAAGAGGAATGTCAACTCTGCAAACGGCATTTTACTAACAGTATAACTTTGAATATGAGGGTTATTTAAATGTAAAGATGCACGTTTTTGTCATGTTAAATTGTAGCCAGCCATGCTTAACTTAAACACATTTTCATTATAACAAACAGTGAAATGAAAGCTTCCATTTAAAAAACTGGATCAATGATGAATCAATGACACAGTGTACAGTGTTAACAAGACCTAGGCTTGGGCGATATTTAATATCACACACACACACACACACACACACACACACAGACACACGTATACATATATGTATGTGGTTAAAAAAAAAATTCAGGACTGACGATCTCTCTCTCTCTGTTTCGAAAGTTGCTACTGCAAACATTCATGCATGTTAATAGTGCCCCCTGCTGAAGAAATGTCAGATTGTGACAGGTCATCTAAATGAGAGTTCCAAAGCCATGCCCACAAGTTTTACATATTGGTAAACCTCGTAATGTATTATTACATTTTCAGAACTTTACAACTCATCTGAATCACCAGGACACTTCATTAACGCGAAAAATGCTGAGAATTTTCCTCAGACAGTATATCACATTCTGGGAAACTGGGAAATTTCCCAACATGGCACCTTCATCGGTCTACTTGTCAATTACAACCAATATCCAATTACATGGCCCCATCTCCCATGTCTGACTAGAACGAGAATAATTAAGCCAAACCTGATTATACTTCTACATTTTCCATCAAACTGGATTAAAAACAAAAATGGAATAGCTATAGAACGTCACCTTATAGTTAGCTATGTGTAATCATTTTTAAATTACAACTTTAAGAGACCTTCTCCATTTTAGATTGTGGTCATGCTTCAACTGAACTACAGGAGTACAAAACTGCCTTATTAACTGACTGACTGAATATTTAAGAATTAAAAAGATTCTGATTCAACAAGAACTGAATTGGTAATTCCACTGTTTCTTTTTCAAAATTATTTAATTGTGCAAAAATTATGACAGTCATTCAGAGTGGCTTGATGTGAAATGCATTTAACGCGTTTTGAGATCCAAAGCGTTCAATGCCTCTAAAAGCTTCCTCCCAAAAAGCCATTACACAAAATGGTTATAAACAGTGTTGGCTCATATTGAGACACTTTTGCGTTCTCACTACGAATGATTTGTGGTCATATGCATCCTTGACTACCTCAAAACTGGTTTTAATGAACCAATCACAAAGTGAAGAAGACATATTCAACCCTGTTAACGTCACCAACTTGTGATTGGGGAAACAAAAGATGTGTGCAGATTCACTGCTCATTTTGGATTATATGCATTACCAATATGGGGATCGGTGTGATACCGTGATCATTTACTTGTACTCGTACTCACCGATACAGGATGTAAGCAGAGTGTACACTGCTGCACTAATGAACAACAACTCAGGCTGGCAGTGAAGAAAGGACTACTCACACAGCGAACTCTCGCTGACACTGTGGTGGCCGGACGTAAAGTTGTTGGTCATTTTGAACATTCCACCTTAGCATAATCTTACCAGTCACACAGTGTGCAATCACAGTCTGTTTTTAAACACACAATCACAGCCACTTCCCCAATACGGGTGGACACACGTAGGCTAGCAAAACGGAGGCATAAAAGCTAACATTTGCTGTACCAAAGTCTGTATGTGCACACTTCACTCTGTTTGACAAAAAATTTCCAGGTATAAACATTAGTAAGTTCATTTTTTAAATTGTAAAATAGGCTGTAGAGAGACCTACACATTGTCCGACCCATGTACATCACATTCTGATTTTAGTTTTTAGTGCACACCGTGGTACACGTCAGCAAAGCTACTGTAGAAGCATGTTTGCTTAGTACTCAGACGCACAGCACGTTGTTTTGAATAAACAGCTTTACTGAAAACTGTAGACAGAGCTGCCTGTAGGGCTGCATTTCATGTAGCATGTCGACTAGACCTGTTATTTTTGTAAAAACACAAATGTGTGAAAATTCACCTTTAAGAATAGCATAACTTGGGGTTAAGAACACTGGAAATTAGGGATGCACTAAATACAGGTAAGATGCATGTCCACGCCAGAAAAGATGCAAATTTGAAAACTGTTGACTGACATTTAAGCACAAACATTAACAGAACCTGGAGATCTTATACGAAGATTACACTGTCTTCTCTTTAAAACACGAAGTTTAAACTGTGGAAAGGGGAGTGTTGAATGAACAGCCACAAGTGTGAATATCTAAAAAAGCGAAGTCGTATCATAGCACAGCACCAATTTCTGTCAATTCTTAAAATCAAAAACAATGCTAATGTAATATCTACACCAGAAGTTTCTAACCCTTTTCTAACTTGCGACCCACTCAGCTGACCACAAAAGCTTCTGCGGCTCACTAGATGCATCAGACCAGATCATAAAAAAAGGTAACAAATATATTACAATAAACAATGAATAGCGGCATTTTGATCATTTCACTAACCACTGGGACACCTCATCTATACAGAAAATACTGCACACCAGCCCTAGACAAGGATCAGAGGAACTTCCTCTTCAGGTAAGATCTTAGAGAGAACTTCGAGAACTTAGCTGGTCTACACTAACTTTGTCATTTTAGCTCGTTTTGTACTGCACTGAGTCACTCTGCGGCGAGCTCAAGTTCCAAAGCACGTTGGCATT